TTTAGCAATATGACTTTGTCAGCTTTCTAATTTAATGTATTGAAGGCAAAGATATTTAACACATAGTGAGAACTGCTACTATTTATCTCTCAATATTGTCTGTAAAAAACGTGGTAGAAGTGATTCTTTCAGTGAGACAACAGAGCAAGCTACAGTTGCACTACGTTTTGATAACAGTTCAATATTATTTTGATAATAACATATATTTCAATGTTGATGAACTTCATACTGTTCATTCATAATCTGATTGTCTTTGTAGCTCATTGTTGAAATTAAAAAAAAACATTACAATTACAAAATAATTATATCTACAGCCCCTAAACACACAAACACACCGCTTTCATAAATAACACACTTGTTCTGCAATAATATGTTTTATGTTTCCTGTCATTTTTGTTAGGAAAGGACATGCCTGAAAGACACAACATTTTCTCCTTCTCTGAGGGTCAAGAAGAACATCCAAGAGGAACATTAAAAGCTGATGTTATGAGATTTTAAGACCAGTACAGGACATTCACTAAGAAACTACTTTTATTGTAAACACAGTCAGCTGATTGAATGCAGCTATTTCCACATCTACACTCCATCAGCTGATTATTTCTATTTGCCTCACTTTATGAGCTTCACAACATGTACCTTGTTTTGCAACGTCACAAATAAATGGGGCCAATCTTCAGTCAGATGTGAATGTGTAATCTAACATTTTCAGTAAGAATAATGGACGAAAGGAGTGCAAATACAAATACAATTTATTGAAATGTGAACCAAAAGTTAATCAAATGTTTTAAATAAAAAGCACATATGGACAGAAGGTGTAAACCTATTAAATGTATAAGTAAACACATTTAGTCAAATAAAGTGACCGACTAGGCCTGTGCGGTTGGTATCAGCTTTGCCCAGCATGGGCTCCTCCATCAGCCCTGGTCCTCCTTGCAGAGGAAAGACCCTCAGTCCTCTCCAAACCAACAGACAGGACGTCCATCACACGGAGGTTTCTCCCTGAAGTCTCTGCAGCTCTCTGGACACCATGCTGTCTCAATCCGTCCACACTGAATATGAGATTGGGAAAATGAAAATAATAAATGCTTTAGACAATAAGAAACATAAAGTTGACTGTTGAGTTGCTCAGTTTTTTTAGATTGTCAATACTATTACTGTATAACTAATATCTCAGGTTAAGAGGCACATTCAAATAAAGATTGGTCTTTAAATAAATGTTGTCTTTTGAATTGTTTGTCTAAAGTCAAGGATCTATAACTGGTACTTAGTTTTAATGATAGTCTGGTTATTATGCTGTTTGGAGGAGGCCTCACAGGTAAGAGCACTAACTAGCTACCATCACATGTACCTTAGCTTGACTTAAATGTATTAAACGTATAGTTAAGTGATATCAAAATATAAATAACTAATGTCATGCAAACATATTAATATTTGCTTGATTCCAGTGTTGAATTTAGCACAATTGCATACAAACGTTAAGGGGTTTTAAGATTCTGAAGTATTATGCTAAAAGCTCAATAACTTAGATTATTATTTATAGTTTTGCTGAATAGTTTCATGTCCGCTTACCTTAGAAACGTAAAATGCGACGGCAGTGTGCAGATGGGGAGCATGTTAGCTTAGCTTGGTAGCTTCAGCTAGCTCTGGAACTTCCAGCTCGGTGGCAGCAGGCTCCGCCTCTTTGCCCTTATTTGGAGCAGGCGGGAGTTGAACTCTGGCGTCACTGTCGAGCCGTTAGTGGCCGACTCCGCCTACTAAGGGCTTCACGGCAACTCTGCAGAATCCTATGGGTGACGTCACGGACCCTACGTCCATTTATATATACAGTCTATGGTATTGAACTGGTTTAATTAATTAGTGAGTTTATTTAAGGTAATTATCTAGAAGCCCTATTTTATCAGTAGCCTATGTCTGCACAGCAGTTACAATGGTCAAACTACATTAAAACAGGATTGTCCCCATTTTTTCTGTAACAGTTACTAACATTAGATATTTTAATGAGATATGGACCACAAAACAAAAAATGGGCCTGAATAACGAATTTAGCAGTGGACATAAAAGTCAACTAAGTGTCACTTGCAATGACAGTGTTGTGTTTTTATTTTATGAACCTTTTACATTAAAAACAAGTTAAAAGGTCTTGTGTTTTTTTTCGGGGGGGGGGGCTTTTTCCAGTTTAGAGCAATAGCCCCACCAAATGTCTGTGCACGTCCCTGCCATTAAGGCTACTAACTTGTTTTACACAGCTTAGTTGAATACTCGATTCTGATTGTAAATTCTTAACATGTGACACGTTGTTAATATAGTACAGACCACTGTCAAGGACTATAATGAAGGTTGCTAAGGAGGATCAAGAAAGAAAAAGGAAAAGAGGTTAAAAGACAGAGCGCTGGACATCAGATAAATCACCAGAAGAAGGCAGAGAGGAAGTAAACAATAACAGGACACGGAATGGGCTCTGTATTTTGTTTAGTATATGGCCATGTACAGGCCCGGTTCCAGAACAAAATGACTTGGGGTGCATCTGAGATTACCAGCAGTAGTAGGTTTAGGTGGGAGGCGTGTGGTGCAGTGGATTGTGTGTTGGTGTTCGGATCAGGTTCAAACCCCACTGCAGTCAGCATGTCGTTGTGTCCCCTGGGCAAGACACTTCACCCCAAATTGCTCCTGTGGGGATTCTCCACAGTATTGAGTATGTAAGTCACTTTGGATAAAAGCATCTAACAAATGTTTACATGAGCAATAGTGGCCAGCAACAGCAATGAAAAATAGCATTGATGTTATGGTCCCCAATGAACAGGATTATGGCATTTGTTATGTTTTGAAACCAAGCAAGTGAGAACATTTCAAGTCAAGTGTGTTAAAAGTGCAATCCTGAGATATTTCATATAGTCAAAAATGGACTAGGCAAGGAAAGGCACAAAAGCTTCAAAACTGTAGTGATAAAACAAATGAGAACATAATGTTAATCAAGGAAAATATTATTTGAACCAGCTCATGGTTTGAAATGGCAAACATTGAAAAGCAAAAGTATTATTAAAACCATGACATACATCATCACCTTGGTCCCATCATATAGTCTGGGAAGAGAATACTGTATCACATCATCGTGTGAGGTTGAGTTTGTGACCTGGAGAACATTTCAGCTGCAACATTAGCTTGTTGATAAGCTTGGGATATGAGATATTTTTGTAGCCATTCGTGGTGAAGGCATCTGTGCTATTGTATGCATTATTTTTTGACCCAACATTTCTACAGGCATGGCAGAATATGGCACTATTTTTACATTAATATTCTAGCCATTGTCTATTTGTATACCACGAGCTGCAAAATGACCGCCTTACCCCACTGTACAGGCGGGTACGGTAGCCTACTTGTTTAGATATACCTAGGCAGGCTCTGTTTTGCCGTGGTATCCTGGCACCTGCGGGCCGCCGAGGGGTGGCGTAGTTTCGGGCGACGAAGACTGCTGCTCCGGGGGCGAGTCAGGCGGGAGTAAGCTAGTGTCCACGACGGAGGGTAACGTGATGTCCCCATCTGACCTGTTGCTACTGTCTGCAGTAGATATGCAGTATTGCTGGCGTTTAGTGATGTTTGCTTTAACCATTTTCGTATAAATGATTATCCACAAATGTGTGTCACTGCTGTGGAAGCACTTTGGAAATGATGCACGCGCAGCGGAGCAGGTCACGCGCACCTGACACAATTTGTTATTTGTATTTTCCGATCCGTTCTCTTTTTTAGAGGGTGCATAACATTCAACTGGGGGTGCAATGCATGCCTATGCACCCCCAAAGATCCCGACGCGAAGCCTGAAGGATAAACACCAGGTTTACTAATCTACCCGCACAATTTTTCTCTGGTGTCGGAATGTCTCGCTCTGGCTACTTTCTTAAACAACAGAACACCATTTAATTTCGGGTTAAAATGTGTTCCCAATATATTACTGTAACTCTGTTACTTTTGTAACGCGTTACACCCAACACTGGTCAGGAATACATTCACTGTAGACCACACAAACTACATCACAAGTGACACCTCTCAGGAAGATTATTTCACACAGCAAGATCTGATACCTGTCACTCAGTATAATAATAATAATAATAATAATAATACATTATATTTGTATAGGGCTTCCCGGCTTTTCAAGGACTCAAAATCGCTTTATAAGGGAAGGTTAGGGTGGGGGGTATAGGACTATCAAACTTGATCAACCGGCATGGATTGATGGGAAGGGGGGGGGGGGGGGGGCTATGAGTAGACAAGAGGAGAAGAGATGAGTTTTGAAAAGGGACTGGAATAATGTGAGGGTCTCAGAATAGCGGAGATCTTTGTTCAAAACGTTTTTTTTTCAAAATGTAAAAAAATTAAAATTCTAAAATTCAAAATTGTGAAAAATTAAATAGAAAATATTCCTAATGTGAGCCAAAATATAATACTAAATATTATACAAGTGATTTTTCTTAACCAAAATGACAAACATGGGATAAAAACACATTATTCTAATACGGGTCCTTTTAGACCCACTTATATATAGAAGAGTGTAGGGTCCAGCCACTCGTGCATCTAAGGGTTACATTACACGTAAAAAACATCATTTTATTTGTTTAAACAATCTCCATTATAATACACAGGAAGCTGTGCAAAGTAGCACAATAATGCAGTTATTTGGGAATTGTAATAAGATAAGGGCCTTTTCTAACTTTATTTTGTAAAGTTGAGTCCACATCTAATTTTATAATTTTACGAAAACTAATGCTCAAACTATGTATTTCCTAAGGCCACATGACCAATTAACAATGTTTCTGGTGTTGTAATGCTCTTCAGAACAACACAAAACAAGTCTCCTGAAATTACAACCTAATAAAAAGCAAACGTAAAGGATGCTTAGTTTGAAATGGATGTTCATGTTTAGCCAATGTCTTAATAAAGTATTTCATCCCACTGTTCCTCTTGTTTTCTAACCAAAGAAAATAAAACATAAAAATAATGAGAAGTCATTTTTTCCACAGACCTTTTATTATCAGTCTCAAAAAATAAAATCCATACAAAAAAAAAAGTATATTTTCTCAGAGAGAAATCAAATGTTTTAAAGCAATTTCACACACAGCAATCATCTCTTATCAATCCTCTAAATACATCATTTATGCTCGACATTAATTGGTATTGGCCTTTCAAATATGACAATTTTTAAGGACTATGGTCATTTAACACAATTGTCAAACTCCAAAGTGCATGTGGACACACATACTTTGTATTCTGGAGTGTGGAGGTTAGGGTTTATCATTATTATTAATGAACACAATCTAGATCAGCCACAAAATGTGAACATGTAAAGGCTAAATGTACTACATGACAAAGCTGATTCATCACATGGCTTTATAGAAATGTGGTTTTCAGTGTACAACATATTCAGGATGTAAACCAAAATCTTAGTTTTCTTCTCTTTTTAATATTGCATACTAAGACACATATAGTAAGAGGTTTAAATTATGCTCTTGAAACTAGATAAAATTAGCTGAAATTCACCATAATGTACATGAACACACAGTAGATACAGAATAAATGGTCTGCTATGGAAGACATTTATATTGTGGGTGATCCTGACATGAATTATAGTGTACACAAGGTTAATTTAAAATGATATCAAATAATCAGCATTGGTATGTGTGGTCTATTGTTATAATACAATAGTAATGGATACAAAGTATACATAGTGTTTAACAATGACAATAACTTTGAAAAGACACAATAAAAAACTAATAATCAAACACTCAAAGTTCTACTAAAATAATGCAGTAGTAATATTGTGTAGTGTCAGAAATGGTCATGACCTATAACCTCTCGAGTTACTGACATATGAATGCTAAAACAGCAACTACGCCTACAATAACGGTCAAAAAGAATACATCTGAAAATACAGACAAGTGCGATTGTTTAAAAAAAAAAAAAAAAAAGATATTAAATACTAACAATATAACAATAAAATCAACAAGTAAAATACGATTCCTACTCCTTAAAGTAGTACAATTGTTTTCATGTTGCAAAGCTTTAATCATTGAAAAAATGATTAGGTAGGCTTTTATCCCCGTTAGAAAGCTTAAAAAGACAACTGTAAATATCACAGACAGAGATTTCAAAACTTTGAAAATGTAACTGTTCACTTAGAACAGCTCAACACAATTTCCACTTTAATAAAAGCACCCTAACCATTTATCATAAGTTCAGTACAGAGGCTAACTAAATTGAAAAATAAACAAACAGGAAGATGCCCACACAGCAGACACATACCAGAACCACGTTGAGGATTATTTTATCTCTGGGAGACTCATACAGCATTTCTGCAATGATATCCTCCTGCAGTACTTTTGTCGGAGTGCTCTGTGGTCTGTCATTACAATCACAAAACCTTTCCAGGAAACACATAAACCCGCTAGTCTTCCTATTAACCTGGCTGCTTTCCCCTTCGGTGATATCTAACTTTCCATTACTGAATTGGTCTGCAGGCGTGGTGGCAGGAGATGTTTCTGTACTTGGGGTTGCTGGGTCATGGTCAGTGTACGAGACCAAGAGTTTAACATCTGCCCCATCCAAACACCTCTCGTTTCTGACATCTTGTGGTATTTCTTTAAGGAGTCTTCCATTGCCATTCTGAAAGCTCTCTTCGGTCAGCCTTAATGTTTCCTTTCGGTCCTTTGTTGGAAGCCTTTTCATGTTGCGGACCCCCCAGAATGTAGTGGTGCGAACCTGCTCCTCATCTGGGGCAGAGGTGCAGAGGCTGACCACCACTGCCACCAACCCTGAAGTCCAGAACAGCCCAGCGGCAAAATACATGTAGTGCACTTTAGCAATGAAGGCAGGCCTATCATCTGGCAGGTCACAGTTAGGCTTGCGGTAGATAAAAGCTAAGATCAGACGTATGGCACCAAGAGTGAAACCTGTCATGCCTCCGCAAAATGCACCTGTCTCATTACACCGTTTCCAGAACACACCCAACAGGAAGAGGGCAGCTATTGGTGGAGTGAGGTAGCCAGCAACTTCCTGGATGTAAAGGTATGTCTGCCCGCCTTGCATTTGGATAATAACAGGGACCCAGGCAATGCTGATTGCCACCATAACCACAACAAACATGCGGCCAACCATGAGCAGCTCACGCTGAGACGCCTCTCTTCGAAAGTTTTTGTAGATGTCCAGGGTGAAGATGGTGCTTGCACTGTTGAAGATTGAGTCTAGGTCACTCATCAGGGCAGCGATCATGACAGCCATCATCAGACCCCTGAGTCCGACAGGCATCACAGCCATGACAAGGCGTGGGTAGGCAATGTTTGAACAGCCAGCCTCAGAACCACAAACAGCCAAGCAGTGCTCGGGCCCAATGCAGGCAATCTCGTCTGTGAACAAGATGCGGGAGATCATTCCAGGGATCACTATTAAAAACATGGGCAGGATCTTGAGGAATCCAGCCATGAGCGTAGCACCCTTGGCGTGAGCAATGTTCTTTGCTGCTAGTACTCTCTGAACAATGACCTGGTCTGCACACCAGTACCAGATAGAGGCAGGGGTCTGGCCAAGAAGGAAGCCTGGCCATGGGATGTCTTCATCCAGTGGACCTCGGAGGATGCGTAGGGAGTCTGGTTTAGGCGTAATGTGGCACGAAGGAGAATAGGTGACGTTCAAAGTGGCCATTATAGCAGTAACATTGGGAATGGCCTGCATGTACTTAGTTCTGACACCCTCCATCCCACCAACTTTGATAAGGCTTAGGATGGTTAGGATTAGTGCTCCAACAATCATCAACACCGCCTGAAGTGCATCCGTGTAGAGTACAGCCACCAGTCCACCGGTGGCAGTGAGCAGCGCTGTCAGACTGATGAGCAGGACGATGGAAACATAAAGGTTCCACCCCAGGGACTCCTGAATGAAGAGCGCTCCAGCATACAAGTCCACTGACAGCTTAGTAAAAATGTAAAGTAATATAGACAAGAAGGCAAAGTAAATCTTTAGCCTGTTGCCACCGTAGCGTTTCGACAGGTACTCGGGCATGGTGTAGACCCCCGAGTGTATATACACAGGGATAAACACCCAACCAAGCAGCTGCAGAAGAAGAATTGCATTAAACTCCCATGCTCCAACAGCAAAGCCACTCACTGCTCCTGACCCGGCAAGGCCTATGAAATGTTCACTGCCAATGTTGCTGACAAAGAGTGATGCACCAATTACTATCCATGTCATGGAGCGTCCAGCCAGGAAGTAGCCACTCACAGTGCTGCGATTGGCTTTCCACATGGCAAAAAACCCAATGGCTAGCACCAGGACAAAATACAGTGCTACCACAGCTATGTCCACTGCTTCCAATCCAGGACTCATCTTTACGGATTACTTAAAAAATATATTAGCTCACAGATTAAGAAGAAAATAAATACAATAGTCAAACGTATTGATTTATTATTTTTAAACGGAGAAATGGAAATGATTTCTTTGGTTTGCTGTCTGGTTGGAAGCTGTAGTATCCACCGTCAGCTCAAATACACTAGGTGTGCTTCGGAGGGAGTTATCCACCGGCACTGAGGTCGTTCTAGTTTTAGCAGAGGATGTTGCAGGCTTCTGGTCTAGAATAGCCTAGAGTTAACATTCCTGCAAGACAGCAAAGACAATGAAAAACACCTCATTAGAGCCGTAATCTTAGAAGTTAAGAACATCGAACACAAATGCTTTGAAAGACACTTTACACCCTCTCTTAAAAACAGGATAAAAACACAGGTGAGGTTTAAAAATGCCTCGAGTCAAACTGAATAGTATATCCCAAATACATAAAATAATAAAAATCACTAATGAAAGACATTTTAAAAACATAGCAGAGCTCTCTATAAACCATATCAATAATAGGAATGCTGATTTGAATAAATTTGGTTTTCCAACTGCATTATTCCAAGCGGTTTTAGCCTCCCTATGACTGTCCAACTAATCATTCTAACACAAAGAACTCAAGCCAGTAAACACTTCAAACAAACCCAACATTTAGCAAGAAAATACTTAAGAATAAACTAAATTAAAACAGAAAAGAAAAATGCCTGGAAGCAGATAGTCATAAGCATATTGGAAAAACAGATACATTGAGGAATTCCATTGAATGGTTTAAGGCTTGGGGTGCCCAACCTTTTTTGAACCGAGAGCTACTTTTAAAGTTGCCAGTCTGCCGAGATCTACCAGTCCAAATAGAGAGGCGTAGCCATTACTGACAGCCTACTACCAGGAAAATACTGGTAGTAGGCTGTAGGTTGTATAAAACGGACCTTTGTACGATTAATACTTCATGAAATACTGCAGATCCTTTATCTTACCTCTTTCTAATCTACACGCATACAAGTATTTAACTGAAGTTACACAACAGTGTATCTGTTGATATAGAGTCACATACTACAGTGGGTAATGTTTTCAAGAAACATTGAACAGTGCTGCCACATATGACACAGGGGAAAAAGAAAATACTCTGAACCCTTTCTTTGCCATTATATAAAAATAGTGTCGCTACAAAAGTATAAATGAGGCTTACTAATAAGACAACTCAGATCTGAAACTACACAGGAATCTGCTGCCGAAAGTGCAATAAAAAAGACAACATTCATAGAATCAAACCCTTTTTTGTTGCATTTTAGTAGAGTATAAAAAGAAATGCCTTTAAAATAGGATGCAAGCAACACTAGTTTCTTAACCTGAATTGATAATAGACTATAATCAATTTAAACAGAATAGATCTGAATGTTTGCATTCTTATACCATTTTGTACAATAATTATAATGAATAAGTTCAAACAAACTAAAACTTACAGCTGATTAATAACGGTATCTAACTTGAGTTTGTATTATATCAAAAACCTGTTGAAATGCTACTTTTATTTTTACTGTCCCCAAAAAGCGCGTCGGCAGCCTCCATGAATGCTTCTTTCACAACTTTGTGTGTTTCGCAAGAACGTGACTGACACGATAAGATGCTCTGGTAGCAGCCTTGTCTTGTTGTTGGGCCTGGTGAAAATGGACTGCTGTGCATTTAGCTGTCCTTTCAGGTCCCTCACCTTTTGGAGCGTAGGGCAGAATTAGGAGGGAATTCCGTCTCGTAGCGTTTGTGTACTGTTTTTAAATGCCGCTCCTAAATTACCCTTCTTCGATTAAGCCACGCTCGCATTGCAGATGAGACAGATGGACTTTGAATTGGAATAGATACAAAAATAATCATCCTCCCCAGTGTGCGAAATACCCGTCACTAATCAGGGGGGTCCCCATCTCCCGTTTACTGCGCAACATACCGGTCGAAGATTTCTCAATATGCAGTAGGCCAATACTTCATGGATGCAAGCCAAGACAATCAGTAGTCCATAGCAGCGTTTCTCAACCGGGGCGCCGTCTGGCGTCTTCAGGGGTGCCGTCAAATAATTCTGATGTTCATAATGAATTAATTAATGTTGACCATTAAAGAGCCGTCTGTTTTCGATTCTATGCGAGGAAATGCTTTTGCCAGCCAAAATAGAAGATAATTGTGAATAAATGTTTTGAATTATGAATATTGGACATAGTAAGCTTAAAAACATTTTAGTGACCATTGGAAGTGACAAATAAATATTATAATTTGAGACCCCCCCCTCAAATGTAGCTGTTGAGGCTTTCAGGGGTGTTCAGGTGTTACCAGGGGGGTCGAGCTCCCCCGGACCCCCCTGTATTTCGCACACTGATCCTCCCACTCGGAGTGAAAATTATATATTTTGGGCTTTTTTGCTTCTGCCATAATTGCGGTCTTGTGTGTGCGGACTGTCACTCCTGTTGACACGGACAACGTCAGCTAACTAGTGTCCACTGCCCACCAGCCACGCCCCGACACATGGGGTCACGCCGGCCAATCACAAAGCTTTGATGCGTTCAAGTGCATTATTCTGGCACATGAAGATTATGTTATAGGACATTAACGATAAAACAGAATGTTGTTGTTCTATTTTTAGACACATCTCGCGATCGACTCGGAATCTCCCCGCGATCTACCGGTCGATCGCGATCGACTGGTTGGGCATCCCCTAAGCCATGAAAAAATTATGAGTAGAGGGGCACAACAGGACATTGCTTATTCACACTAAATTAGGACAGTCTAAAAATTGAATTTTCTTGTTTTACCTCAAATAACACATGCACATTTTAATCTGAGTATGGTATGGTGCATTGCGATGTGTGAGCACACATACATGCACACATTTGGATGTCTGGCCTCTATTATAGCTTGTAGACTTTCAAGCATGATAGAAAAAAAAAAATCCTCCACGTTTGTCTTCACAACAAGGCTCTACGCATAACCGTCCCTCTGAATAAAAGGAAGTCTTTGTTTTCATTTTACCATCATATCATTAAGGACTTATGTGATCCCCATAAACTGTCCAAGAGAATCTAGCTCTGAAATACAACAATGTTTTTCAAAGTTTATTATCATTTCATTTGCAAAGTTATATTATGAGGGATTCAAACATAATTACTGCCAAAGCCTACTTATATAGAGCCACGGAGGCTGCTGCCAAAACAATAAAAATATATGGTGCTGCCAATGAAACAGAGAACCTTTGGCTGTTACGCCTGTATTATTCCCCTTTCTGCAAGATAGACATTTTCTAAGGCAAAGTAACTGATTTACACCAGACCAGTATTGCCTGGAGCAATACCATAACGGCGTTAAATGTATGAGATCGTGTGAGGTATTAAAGCCAAGAGAGTTGCAGAGGCAAACCAGCCCTGACGTGCATGAAGCCCAGAACAGACACTGTAAATTAACCTTTGATGCCGTTTGTACAACCGAAGGAAATTCCCTATGAATGGTATCTTGCAGTGGTTAGCATGTATCTTTAATGACAACACCGAATGCTTTACCCTGGTTTAAAAACATTCTAAAAATGAACGTTAACCTGCAAGTGAGGCAGCCATGATATACAAAAGAAAGAACTGGATTCATTATAAGGGATATTTGGTGCATATAGCTCTTTATTTAAGCCAAGTAGCCTACGGCTGAGAGCCTTTGTAGACACAAAGGAAAGGTGACACCAGTGCACGGCTGGCGCTAGGTGCACGGATTCACCGATCAGGCGCATGGAAATGTCTAGAACAGTCACTCAAACAGCAAAGCTGCGCATCCTCAAGGAGCTTGTGTATTCCGTGTTATTGTTTATCTTCGATCCACTGCATGTTTCTTTATCGGTTTTACCACAACACGCCAGTCTGAGATATAATTGTACACGTAGCCTACTTGAATAATTTCTTGCCAGGCTTTAGCCAGGGGTTAATAGGACATACGTCGATGACAGTTTCAACATTTGACCTGATACATTAACTATCATCACCCAAAACACAGATACACAGCCTTTACACTGACATATGATCACATATTTTAAACAGATAACATTGTCACTTAATCACCCAGGTAGCTCTCATACAGACTCACCGTCACCGGCTCTAATGGTTAAAACACAGATGAGCACTCGAGATGTACCTTGTTAGCTAGTGTTAGCATACGCACTAAAGCTGCCAAATCGACACGGCTCCGAGGGGAGATGTGAATGAAGAGGTGCCTGCTTCCTGAAGACTCGTCCCTCTGCTGAAGAGCTCTCACTAAAGATGGTTCAAACTGTCTCTGCGTTTACCACACAGGGCTCCTGGGTTGTTTTCACGTTAGCAGTCCGTTGTCATCCCTCTGCCCTCCGTTCCACGGTAGCAGTGACGCCCTTCCAGACAATGCTGCCTCTTTTCTTTAAAGCCTCCGTTCAATCCACGCCCCTCACATGTCTGGGGCGTTTGACTGCGACTTCAAATTCCCCCAGATTATTATCCAAAATGTTAACGCTGTACTAAATGAATAAATAACAAGTACAAGTGTATACAAAAAATCTGTATTGAAAAAAACGTCGAGCCAAGTGCTACTAATCACACCCACCTCCCAGAGCCTCTATCACTTTCATTAGGGGACTTCGTTTTTCATAATTTTAATAAATTACACTTTAAATTGATCCAAAATGGTATTACTTAAACAATTACAGCTTTTCTTAATACTTTAATAAAAATGAAGGCGGTACATATAGACATGGGCATATAGATATGCGTATATAAACTACAGCCTTTTTACAGTTGGCCTCTCATTAAACTCAGCAAATCTTCTACAGCATGCAACAACAAATAATTATGAAGTAATTAACCCAGGATAACCTTGTCTCAAATCATAGAAGCTTCTAGAAACCCCTACTCTCACCAATCACACAAGCCTAGATTATAATCAGATTTAAGGGTTTTAGTGTCGAGCACTCTATACCGCTGCCTCTTTGAATAAAAGGACATGATGTAGGCCTAGATATATTTTGATTCTTTTCAGTGCTGTTTTTTTCTGAAGCCTCTCTAAAATGGAATGTTATCCAGTATTCCAATACCAATGCCCAAAAGAGAGAGAAAGTTATGCTACACATATTTTTCAAGGCCAACATGCTGTTTGTATTGAAACACATACACTATTCAATGCATCAGGGAAGTGATCAAGAGGAAATGGTTGTCAGAGCAATAGAAAGAAATCCACTGCCATAGATAAACACACACACACACACACACACGCATGCATTTGAGAGCCCTCCCTTTAATGTGGTTGTCTGTGTGTGTGTGTGTGTGTGTGTGTGTGTGTGTGTGTGTGTGTGTGTGTGTGTGTGTGTGTGTGTGTGTGTGTGTGTGTGTGTGTGTGCGTGTGTGTGTTGTGTGAGTGTGTGTGTGTGTATGTGTGTGTGTCATGTATTCTGCATTATTTTACAATCTTTTAATGCCATCACTAAAACTGCTACTATACTAAAAAAATATGATAAAGCATAACATAACACACAAAACATATCAATAACACAGTGGTAATAAACACATTGGCTGCAGTTACAGTCATATCCTAATAATATTCATATTAGCAGATGTGTGCAGCCTCAGCAGTCAGTTAAGGTGCACATGGTTGATTTGCAGCAAAACATCCTGCAAAGCATTCGCAGCATACTACACTAGTCTGGGAGGCCAACTGTAAATTTCCACTCACTACAGATATTTTGGAAAATTCCGTTAAACGAAAAACTCAATTTCCCAGGAAACCTTGCGCCTCCGTGTTGCGTGTTTGTCGAGCGACAGTCGTTTGCAGTGAGAGTGAGATGTCAACGGCAAAGGTTTGAGCTGAAATTCCCTTTAATATTACTTTGATTAGGAAGTCAATCATCGTGCTTCCTAATGCATTGATCAAGCAGACGCTTCGTAGGCCTACAATGGTCAAGTGTTAATATAGTGTCACGTCTTTTTAACAGATGTATTTTGGCTCGTCTTTACTTACTTACGTTCCAAACCCTCACCCAAGAATACATTCAAATTCAAACATATTGGCTTGCCCATAATGAGTATGAGCAATGCACCAGTAGGCTATTTTACAACACAAACTAAGTATGTACATAGGTACTGGTAGCAACCCTCAGTGAGATACACTATTTCAAAAATACCAACAATAAGATTTAGGTTCAATAATTATTGATACAGCCTCACATGAATACAAACAACAACATATAGGTATATATTTATCTAGCCCAAGTTTAACTGTAATCCTACTTTTAAAAAAAAATTTTTTTACAGAAACCTTTTGACCTAATGTTTTTTGCAAATCCTTAAAAGAAGGACTCCAGTAGACCAAAACATAAAGATTTAGAGTTACTAAAGTGCATGGCTCTAAACTGCAGCCACTTTAAGGTTATCATTGCTCAGATCAGCATGATGAAACTGTCAGTAATGCATTGCGCAGTGACCATCCTCCTCTGCAGCCTCATCTCCTAACAATAGTGCAGTTTCCTGTTTATCCTTCCCTGCTAAACTGAGTCATACAACCTGTGGTGAGACCTCAACAGCTGTGTTTCACAGTGGGTTAAGATCCATGAAGGATTGCAATTTTGGATTAAGCTGAATATATGTTGTTGAGATATCAGTTGCACCCCACTTAGTGTTACATGTGAAAACCATGTGTTACATGTGAAAACCATGTGTTACATGTGAAAACCTTTCAAATTTGTTTTCCATCACGGCAAAATGGGTAGATTTTTCAGTCCATTACTAAAAATATAATATAAATATGGAGATGGACTGACCACTAATGAGCAGTTTATTTTCTATGTTTTATGTCTACTTTCTTGTGGTTATTGAAAGTTTGTAAATCAGTGTTACGGTTTGTAACCTTCTTTGTATTAGGCTACCGTTCATGTTTATGGATTGATTGGAAGGCAGCAAAGCCACAGCTCTCATTACGGGAGATGACTTCGATTTGTCGTTTGTTTGCAGATGTTTATTTTTCTTTGATCTATTAACTCGATCAATTTCCAGCCCTCTGGGGCATTAATGCAGCTTTTTAACAAAACCATAGCCACTTATTTCCAATACCTTATTCTATTATGTTTCTTCATTATAATGTATTAAAAAAGTTGTTTACTTACAGTTTACTTACAGTTTTGTTCCTTAAAGAAAAAATACCTCTTGTGCTTTAAGTGGTTGTAAAGGCTGGAAAAAGTATATATAAATACAGTCCATTTGTCATTTATACAATTTATGTGCAATACCTCATAACATTTTCAGGTTAAAAGGGCACGTGTCATAGCAGGCCTCGAAGTTCTGGCAAATCAATCTGAGTTACCAACCTTCTCTATGCAGAGGGCTCCACCTGGCAGGAACAGCTACACCGACATTAACATTATTTTTAAATATGGATGCCGACCCAGATGTAGAGCAGCCAAACACCTTATGGTCACAAGAGTTGTGGTGTTTTACACACAGTGCTGTCTTCCTGCTGCCCTATATAGACTGTGGTATAGACTGTGTCAAGTCCCACACCCCACAAGTGCAAACTCAACAGTTGGCTTCATTGTTGTGATCAAGCAGCCAGTGCTGAGAGTTGAGCTTGAGGAGGGGTGTTAGAAAATATCAATTCACTTTAGTATCACAATATTGCGTTTGTTATACTGTATCATTTCTAATTTTAAAAAAGCGTATAGATTTGTTGTTTTGTTTTGGTAATGCTATGTTACACTGTATTTATTTACTTGATATATTTACATAAAGAATCCTGCAAGCACTTTATTTTATTGCTTATATAGGCAGATTAAGCATGGCCACTGAGAGCCATCTACAGGCAAAATAGCATATTCGTACTTGGACAAAAGTCCACAAAATGTCATTGGAATGGATGAAATATAGTTTTTGAAATATCACTACAATAGAAACACAAACAGATGCATGAATAAAACAACCCCCTTGGACGGAGTAACAATGAAGCCCTTGTTTCCCCATCCCTCGTCCAACTTGGTTGTGGCTGATTAGAAACATCAGTGTACTGTTACACAGCACTCTTCATGTACAATACACTTACACATGTGTTTATGACCATAGCTCCCTCACAAAGTATTGTCAGTTGTAGCCAGACTAACTTTAAACTGACTTCGCAAACATTGAGGAATGCATACAATCTAGATTCAAGATTTTACAAACCAGCGTTACCAGGTTAGATCAAATACTGTAAATGAAGTAGGTGAATTAAACAGAAGCAAGCATCCAAGGACCGATACCTGTAATTGTGGGCAAACAGGCCATACACCAAACCGTTTGCCATCAGATATAGGAAAAAGTATCAAAATATTCAAATGTTTTACTCAGGGTTTATTTTTTTCAACCCACGTTTGGTGAAGATCAGCTAGAATTGGTGGTGTAAGAGATGATCCAAGGAGGAAATAACTGAATACAAATGTGGTGCTATGCTCCAGAGTTCAGGATATAAGTAACATATGCAGTGCTTGATAAACACCATGCAAGAACCCATCTAGATTCTTAAGTCATTTTTGTGATGTTTTTCAAAATCACAGACATAAAAGAAAGAATTAAATCAATAACTCATACGTGAAAGTTAAGTGAATTAATTTAAAATGAACAGTGAAAATGGTGTGCATTTTAGATGCCAAGGCATTGTTTGAGCACTGTGGCAGACATTTCTGTCCAATAATATGTTTTCTAACTCTATCTTTGTACTGCTAATCTAATATGAACCATACTTTTCATTGTTATTTAAAGTATTAGTCATTACATCTATAAAAATGTCCTATTGTATGAGTCGGCTCATGTCCTCTGGTGCTTAAGGCTGAGAAATATAATGCTCTAATAGCTTCTTACTGACTGTTTGAATTGTAAGGCCTTTAATGTTGCATACATGTATACTATTTGCTTTTTCAACACTCTGTTATTTAACAGTAGCTTCTTGAGTTATGATATAGCTTTACTTGGTCTCAGGTAGAACATGGGGTAAAAAGTCACAACTTCAAGACTTTGTTTAACTTCCTTATGCACAAAGTCAATATTTAGAAAAGAAAGAACACTATTTGTCATTTCTGACCATGCTGTAAAATAATGGTTGGCCAAAAAAGTTGGAACATTTTCTGGGGATGGATTACAAGTGTTTATTATAAGTAGAATACCAGATTGCAGTCTTTAAAATAAATAATTGTTTACTTGAAACATAAATAAATGGTGGCTACATTATCAAAGTATTAGCAATCTAGTACAGACACGTTTTAAAACATTGTTTGCATTATACAGGAGCTCCATCTAGAGACTTAAACCGGTATTTTCCGGTCCTTATGTACATACAAAATGGATTAAACAAGATATATCAATTCATTATTTCAAAACTATTACATTTGACAATTTGGAATTTTGACACAATAATATTTTTTATCAAGAAGTATAACTAGGAGTTTAAAACCAAAAAAAAACTACAGTATATAATACAACCAGATTGCCTCTTATTCAATATGAGGAGTAAGTGCAGTTTTTCACTCAAATGCATTGCAATACAATTACACAATTTCTGTCAACACTTTTCCAAATGTTTGATAAATGAGATTTCTCTCAAGTAAACTGGTTTCAAGATAGTGATTGACGCCATCACACACACTTACTGTCACATTATTTGGCTATCAAGATTAACATGTTCAAATATGTCTGGGGCTAAACAATTATGAAACAACATTTTGACAATGAAAGAAACTTGATACACTATGGTTTATATTTCCATAGACAACAGACCGCTTACCACGAATGACGTATCATAAACATCAGGAATTCTTAAACATATTGATGTGTTGTACTGCCCAATTCCATTGTACTTCTTAAAAGTGAATTTATTTTGTATATTACATAAAATACAGCATACCTCTATTTACCTTTTCACAACGAAAACTGGAAATATTAAATATATCTATATATCTATATATACATTGCATTAAAATATGACATAAATAAAAGTATAGCTAACACTGTGTTTTTAGTTTGCTATCCTATCATATACTTTATGGCTGCAATACAATGTGCAGTTCGCTGTCAAATATCTAGCAGTGAGATGAGAGGTTTGTAAACACGGCACATCCTGGACTATACCAAAGCCTGGGGGCAGTGATATTCTTCTGATATTAATTCTAAAACTGCACGAGGAGAAACCGGTTTAGTTTTGCTTTGGGCAATAATTTACATTAAGATTTCGCATGTATTGACTTTCTGACGACGGTTTAAAGACAAACATCTCCTCTTTTATATTTAAAATACACCCCACCCCACCCCTTAGTTATCGTGAAATTAACATTCCGTCCGCTCTCAGCTCTGAATCAGCTGAGTTGGTGGGTCCCGCCCAGTTCTGTCAATCACCCCTGGTTCTCTCGTCTGGAGATGTTTTGTGACACCCATCATCAGGACGAATAACAGGCTTACTACCACTTGTTCTGAGAGCTACCATAGATTGAAGGATGCACCATGGAGACCGCGCTGTCGCTTCTTTAAGTGTGACTGCTCTGAAGAGTCGGTCCTCGGGCTCCTGTCGGGCTTGTTTCGCAGTTGGTGAGTCATTGATGCACCTGATAGCTAGCTAATGTTGTTTACCACGATGCTTTTACTGTACATTGTACTTGTTACAACCACAATACCATATTATTCCCTCATATATTCTAAAATTGAAACCTTTACGTTTGAATGCTACGTTAACTTTGTGCTTTCATTGCTAGCTTGCTATCTTAGATGTATCCCTGTTTCAGTATTGACGTAAATGTAGCTAACCATAAACTACACAAACATGTTTGAACTAAGTCTTGGTTGCAGTGATATAAACATTAAGTCTGAGGTCGTGCAGTTACATAACAAACAGTACTGACTTCTATTATATGGCCACAGTTTGTGTTGACATCTTGTCTCATCTGCCATTTCATCGACACAGCGTCATATTAAAGCTCTTTATGGTGGTGGTGTCAGTCAGGTGACGCAGTCTATAGCAGAGCTTGTTGTGTGCTATAGTGCGTGTGTCCACTCACTGACTATCAAGGCACTCACTCCTTTGCACAACAGCAGCCTGTAGAAATGCATGCTTTATCGCACTTGCTGTTTTGCTGATGCATACAATGAGGAAGTGAGAACATGCATAAAGTTCTGCTTGGTCAACAGAGGTTGATTATCTCTCACCTATGATTAGGCTGTTTTTATAGATCCTCATTTGCTTGAAGCTTGCACACAAACAAGTTGTCTCTCTGAAGGAAGATTTATAATCCTTCTAAGGAGATACGTCTAAACAATATAGGCAATATATGTATATGTAGAATAGCAGCACCTGAGGGTTGTTTGCTATGCAGGGTGACGTTGTTTTTTACATATTTCGTCTTCAACCACTCCTTATTTTGATATCAAGGTTGTAAATGTGGAAGAAAGTCACGAGTACTTAATGTTGCTTTTTAGAATAAGAAGGTTTTCTCATTTCTCATTATTCTGTTTTGGTCAGAAATAACAAAACACTTGGCATGCATATAAACTGTTGATCATTTCATTACATGTGTAAGACATTTTATCAAAAACATACCAAAAAGATCATGTGAAAAATATGTATTATTAAGCTATAGTACAAGATTCAAAGATTCACTCAACTGAACATGCTGGCAGTGGATAAGAACACAAATAATCCATCTGTTAGAGCCAGTTTTTAGTTTTGTAAAAAAGGCCAAATATTGACACCTAATGTGACCTCTGTTGTCGAGACTAAAAAAGCGACAGCCTCTTAAGAAACACACAGATGGGCAACCTGTGTGAAAGATGCCGTCAAGACACAGTTTTAATTTTAATCGTTAACTTATATTATCCTACACAACTCAAAGAAAGTTGTCAGTCACACAACATCAACACATCATCAGAAGGCAAACAGGTCATCACAACTGTAAAATCAAATAAACGAAAGATACGCGTTAGAACTATCGGTTAAAGACGTCTAGTGGCTTGATGGAAACAAATGAAGGAAGCCGCAACACCATCTTTGTTTTATCCATCTCCATCACTTAGTTGCTATACTCTTACTTTCCACATTTACCCCTTTAAGTAATCCACCCACCCTTATCTGTCTCATTCCTGTGGGTCATGATCTGGTTTTGGCCTTTTTACTTTTTATTTTCATTAATACTTGACATATTTATTGTCTTTAGTTGTTAAATCTATGAAATGTCACAAACACAAGTTAACAAAGACTAAAGTTATTGCTTATAATTGCTTATTATTTTTTGATTGAGCAACAAAAAACTCACTGTAAAACTGTGTTTTGGGGAGAGGCATTTTCAAAAAAGAATGCCAGTAATTATCTTTGATTTTTCTGTCAAAAGGCCATCCTGATTCCGAGTGTTTATGATAATAATAATGATCATGATATTTACTTAAGCGCTTTTCCAATTACTCAGAGTGCTTTACATTAAATTACATTACATATATTAGACATGTAATACACTCATACTGTGGACAATACCCACAGGAGCCATTTGGGGTGAAGTTTCTGCATGTGTTGTTGGGTTCGTCACTCCACAAAGCTCCTCACAGCTCACCAACAGAGTCCAGATGTCTGTTCTCTAATCCTGCCGTCTACTCCCCCACCCATCTCTCTCTTCAGCTTCATTCAAATACATTACAGACTAACACACACACACACACACACACACACACACACACACACACACACACACACACACACACACACACACACACACACACACACACACACACACACACACACACACACACACACACACACACACGCACACACCGTCATCTTTGCCTCGAAAGTAAGAAGAAAGCTACTCTTTCTAGATAATGCAGCATATTAAGATGTTGAACACTTTTTTGCCTATGCAACCAAAACGAGATTGAAGTCAAGCGAAATTATTATTCTTATATATAAAAATGTCCGCTTATTGAAACAAGCTTTTAACCCAACTCTACTGTATGTTTTCCCTCAGCGTTTTAGTGCCTTTCAGCTCATTTGTTTTGGTTTTATAGACTACAACTTTACTGCTCAGTATGCTACCTGGCCATCACCAAACATCAGTAGAAGATAGCATAGGCTAGTGAACGCAGTGGAGCCTTTAGAAGAGCCATTGACTTTGACAATTGACTTAGTGGCAAAACACACAACTTCCAATGAACGCTAATGTTGCCCTTTGTCTGCAGGATGTGTGCTCTGACAACCTTTTAATCAATATGATCACATGTCAATGTCACTGAGGTATGGCCTCAGCAAGCCAAAAGGCCTATTAATGCTGCTTTAAATCACTGTGTTAACAAGACTGAAAACAAACTGTATTCCTCTGTCTGTTTGTGCCAAGTCCATAACTTGTTTTTCTCTTAAACTTCCTGCATGGCCACGGTTTGTGTTAGCAGGACTCCTCCTTCCTCAGACTGCAGCACAGGTCAATCAGACAAACACCGACCAGTCATGAATGAGGACATTTGTCTCCATAGCCTCAGGGCTCATCTCTTTCGACTCCACTTCGAGCGATAGAACTATTAACGAAGCACTTTTATACTAATAAAGGACTGGCTTATCTAAAGCCAGTTGAGTAGCACTTGAAATGTTTTTGCTCTATGAAGCCTGATGTACTTATATGATTCTGTTTTCTTCAAGTTGTATTTTGTTGGTCGAACGTACTTATTGTAAGTCGCGTCAGCTAAATGTAATGTAATGTAATATCAGTGAACAGAGTTCATTGGCTAATTGTATTTGCCAGAAACAAGCCTCAGAGGCCGAGGTGAGGGATATCCAGGAGGATGCAGACAGATACTATCGCTGAGCCGATAGTATCTGTCTGCATCTTTTCTTAAGATCTGTTGTTTGTCTTGCCTCTTTTTAAGGAATATTGTGCTGAAGATGCTGGGATCACATTGATGTATCATGGATCCTGAGGAGTTAGAACTGCAGAATGACTACCGCTACCGTAGCTATGCGGCGGTTATTGAGAAGGCGCTGCGAAACTTTGAGTCCTCGAGTGAGTGGGCCGATCTCATCTCCTCCCTGGGGAAGCTCAATAAGGTAAGGTAACTGTATGAGGGATGAGTGGATGTGATCCTATAAACACTGTACATTCTTATATTTTAACTGGATATCTCAGTATTAAGAACTTTGTCTATCGTGTCATTTGAATTCACAGTAGCATTTTGCGTTTTCTATTTTGGTGTTGTCATTTTGCAGGTGTCAACTTCACAGCTGCTGTGTGTTTCAGTTCTCTGTTTGATGAGGAAGTTTCTTTTGTGTATTGAAACTCTCTCTCTCTCTCTATAACACACCCTTATTGCTCCAGTCTTCTGGCTATTTATTTCGGGCAGTAAACATCTCACTTTACTGTACTTTCCCCCTGCTGAGTTTACTTTGGAGTGTCTTTGTGTGCTGATGCACAATTAACATCTTAGATTACACAGAACATGTGATAGAAAACACTGACAATATGCATTAAAAAAAATCCAAATTCAATCTAATATGGGATATTGTTGTTTAAACACGATAATAAATGATAAAATAATGAATGATAATCAAATTATAATACATACATTGGTATGGAAAGTAATGGAACATATTTAATTGCACTGGATAATTTACAGAATGTGTGTTTTTAACAAGATATTACTACATATTATGTTTTGTATGTGATTGTAATCTAGCAGTATTTTTGCAACACGCCATTTGCTAACCTTTTTTTCCTGTCTTTTACCTTCAGGCTCTGCAGAGTAACCTTCGCTACTCCCTCCTGCCGAAGAGGCTGATCATAGGGAAGCGTCTCTCACAGTGTCTACACCCCGCACTTCCGAGCGGAGTACACCTCAAGGCTCTGGAGACATATGAGGTCATTTTCAAAATCATTGGATCAAAATGGCTGGCCAAGGATCTGTTCATTTACAGGTGACTTACAAGAAACTGGCATGAACCTTTTACTGCTTGTGGAGAGAACTGGCCTGATGTGTGCAGAATGTTATGATATTGAATTTGTGTGTGTGTGTGTGTGTTATGTTTTCAGCTCAGGATTGTTCCCGCTGTTGGGCCATGCAGCCATGGCAGTGAAGCCCATGTTGCTGACTCTGTACGAGCGCTACTATCTCCCGTTGCAGAGGGCTCTGCTGCCAAGTCTCCAGGCCTTCATCACAGGACTGCTGCCAGGCCTGGAGGAGGGGCTGGAGGTTTACGACAGGTACAATATTCTATATTTCTCTTATTGTTAACATATCACATGAAAACACCAAACCAAAAATAAATGTATCCTACTGACACGCTCTGTATCCAAAGTCTGATATAAAATGTGTCATAAACAAATAGCCACGCTGTTGTGCTGGGAGGAATGTTCCGTCATTAAGATGAACACGGGCACTGTAGTTTATTTTTTGTCAATCACACTTACACTCTGCTGCTGCTGTACTTGATAACCAGGTGTGCATTTATCTGCAAATATTTCCTTTCAAGTGCACTCGTTTTCTCCGATAATGAAAGTATACACGAGTGACTCATTAAAGAAGGAACAAAGGGGGTTGGGGCCGAAAGCCGCAGACAGGGTAGGGAAGTAAAATAAGAGACAGAAACTGTCATTTTTTATATAATCTTTTGCCACTAGTACAGCAAAAACATTTAAGATTTAATCAAGTTAAGAAATCTTCTAAAAATACATTTCCATGCAAATAATTATGGGTATTCTAGCTCTTGAATAACTCATATATTTTTGCTTACTCAAAAATGGTAACATTTAATTGAATTGTTTAATGTTTAACTAATGTTTTTAGTTTGTCTAACAACTTTCATTTATGCTAAACAAATGTACACTTTATGGGAGGACAGCTTGGTATCAGAGACTACATCAGGTAATGTGACACAGCATAAGCAGCTTATGTCATCGACTTGCTTTAGGCGTTACTCGTATACAAAAACAATGGAAGATTTGAATTGATTGGTATGACATCACTAACCACAAGGTCATCCTGCCACTCAGAAACACAGATTTATAAGTTTAATGTCTTCTCTCCATGTTGTCCTCTCTCTCTGTCCAGGACTGACGCCTTGTTGCTCCGCCTGTCCCTCCTAGTGGGTCAGCAGGTGTTCTACGGTGCGCTGTGGGGCAGCATGCTGGTCACTCCCATGGTGCGGCTGCCTGCCTCCGTCTTCATAGTCACACATTTTGACTCCCTGCGTCAGCAAAAACACATGCTGGGCTACGACCACAGGATGGTGGTGAGTGTCTGTGTTTCTGTAACTGCACAAATGTGGTATATGCATTATTTAATGATTATGGGAATATTTTTGGTATTTCTGTCATGTTTTAGTTTAGTTCATCTGTCGGACCTTCTCACCTTCTGTCTTTTTTCAGATAAAGTCGGTGTGTCTTTCTCTGCAAGACTCAAATGTCCTGGTACAGAGGAACATGCTGGAAATCCTGCTCTACTTTTTCCCCTTTGCTACATGCCTGGTAGGTAGGCACATCCAAACACTTCCTGTTTTTTTGGACAACATCGTTAACCTTTTTTTTCCATTTATCATAGGGCCCGTCCTGCCATTAGACTTTCATAATTTCCTAGATAGACAGACGGATTAGTTTTAGATCATTTTTTATTATTATCTATATAGATCTACCTCTATTATTGTGTTGTCTCAATTTTTATTTGAATGTATTTGTTCTAACTTTATTGGTTTATAATAAACCTATCTGTACTACACCTTGAACCGACCTGTGTTTATGGTATTTGCTCTATAAATACAACTTCCTTGCCTTGTTTGTTTAGGACACAGAGGAGTCCGCTATTGCCTTGAGTCAGGAAGAGATGACAGCAGTGGTGTCTGCAGCCTCACTCACTCTCCTCCGCAGAGACATGTCCCTCAACAGACGCCTCTATGCCTGGCTCCTAGGTGCCGATAATCGAAATGAACTTCAATATTAATGAACCCATTCAATTTCCTTTCCTACTCAGTATTTACCATTGTGTATGTGTTTTCAGGAACGGACAAAAAAGGAGCAATGGTGGCACCTCATCCCACCCTCTCTGCTACCACTGAGGAGCATACAACATTCTACTTCAACACCTACTCCAGAGATATCCTTGTGCAGGTAACACATTTGTTAACACACAACCAAAACCAACAATAAATACTTAAAAATAGTACAACCTGATTTTAAAATTCAACAATATGAGAAATTAGCTTATGCTGAGAGTTAGTTGACACGATCGATACCATGTTCATGTTTGTAGGTTATTGATAAATCAACAGCCATTAGGGTTAGATAGATTCACATTATAACTACACACTGAGGGGGACAAGTACCTCAAAAGGTCACTAATTGAGAAGTAGTAAAACCATATGTTTATTTAACACTAGAACTGCCAGAGGTCGCTGTATAACTAAAACTATGAAGGTAGATATGGTGCAAAATGCGAGAGCGTGTAAAACCTGATGTGAGCACTTGCATAAAAAAAATCTAAGTTTGTGTGCATACATTTACACTTGTATAAAATATCCACGTAACTGTGAACCAAATGTACACTTGTATAAAATATCCACATAACTGAACCAAATTTGAAGTCACAGAAGAAAAAAAAAAGTTTTGTAGCTTGTAGAAAAAAAATGAACTTAGTGATGAAATGTTCACTTGCAGAAAAATACATATTATTTAAATATATTTTCCATTACAACTGCAACTTGGTTATTACAACCTCTCAAATCAGTCATTACAACTTGACGAATCTGCTCTGTGGCAGTGTAAATTGACTTTTGCTACACTTCTTGCGATAAATGTGTCGCAAAAGTAATTTTCACCTGTAGATATAGGGGGAGGGAGGGGGGTTGGAGCGAAGGGGTGGAGCTATCAGAATGACGAGGCTCATGGGAGGCTCGAGTCAGTCACTAAGGCCCATTCCCAAACCGCCCCCTACACCCCACCCCTACACCCTACCCCTCCGTTTGCGCGTTCACGCGGAGGGTCCGCCATATTGAGGGCTTTTCCAAAGCAACGAGTGTGGAGGGGGAGTGGGCTATCAAGCCCTCAAACAGCGAGTCTGCAGCGGTGCTGACTTGAGACCGATCTCTACCTGACCGGAGTCACGCTGTGTGTGTCCGTCAGGAAACACGCTGTTTACAAGTAGTTCCAGCAAACATCCACTGATAAATTGCGATGTTAACAACCTCATGATAACCTCATATGTTTTTAACTTAGGATCATACCTGTGTTTAGTCTAGAAAAAGGTAAATGTGTGCATTTTATTATAAAGTTGTGTATATTTACAGACCGTTGCAAAAACTAAGAAGCTTATAAACATCAGGTTTAAAACTAAAAGAGCTTTGAAACACAATGGCCCAATCCCAAACCACTCCCTCGACCCTACCCCTCCGCGACGGAGTGAACTCCGTCTGTAGCCACACCCTCCTGTCAGATGGAGGGAGTAAATACAGCAGCAAGCTTTGGGACGGCCTCCCCTCTCTCGGCAGAAACAGGAAATGCCGTAACTGTATGTAACAACGGGTTCAAATCAGCATCTCTTAGACAAAAAGTTTAAATGAATAACTCAAATAAAACTCCAAACATCTTTCATTGTGTTTCAAAGCTCATTTAGTTTTAAACCTGATGTTTATAAGCTTCTTAGTTTTTGCAACGGTCTGTAAATATACACAACTTTATAATAAAATGCACACATTTACCTTTTTCTAGACTAAACACAGGTATGATCCTAAGTTAAAAACATATGAGGTTATCATGAGGTTGTTAACATCGCAATTTATCAGTGGATGTTTGCTGGAACTACTTGTAAACAGCGTGTTTCCTGACGGACACACACAGCGTGACTCCGGTCAGGTAGAGATCGGTCTCAAGTCAGCACCGCTGCAGACTCGCTGTTTGAGGGCTTGATAGCCCACTCCCCCTCCACACTCGTTGCTTTGGAAAAGCCCTCAATATGGCGGACCCTCCGCGTGAACGCGCAAACGGAGGGGTAGGATGTAGGGTGTAGGGTGTAGGGGGCGGTTTGGGAATGGGCTAATGAAAGATGTTTGGACGGAGTTCACTCCATCACGGAGGGGTAGGGTCGAGGGAGTGGTTTGGGATTGGGCCACAGTCACTGTCACTACCCGATCTGCAGCTCTGCCCGATCTGCAGTGCGCATGTGCGAGATGGTCTGCCATATTGGACAACTCCGGACGGCAACCCAAGTAGGACAACATTGACACAGTGGCTTTTGGCAAAGCTCAAAAGGAAAACTTGAGAGAGATGAGTTATTGTTATTACAACGTGACTTCACTATTATTTAACAACTATTTTTATTGGGTTCTTTTATTTGGGGTTAAGTACATTGTCAGAATAAGTGAGAAATGGATTTAACTTCTGTTAGACAGCTATCATACTGAATACATATTTACTGTGAATGTGTGCAAAAATGTATGGCATATAGCTGTCTAACAGAAGTTAAATTCAAAGTCTTCAAAGCGGATGTAATCCTCAATCACAATAATAATATTAAAAGTAATACTGGGCAATTAATGAGAAACGGGTCAAATTTACCCGCTATTGATTTTCAAGGTACAATGTTCTTTTATTTATCATACAGAACAGTGAGTTTTGATCGCACAGGAATGAAACTTATACCAATAGAATCTGTGGACTCTCAGCTTTTCCTATTATATAGTTTGTGCAGATAGCATGAAGTATAAAATATCACTACCAGTGCTGATTTAAACGCTTGGTGTTAGACTTGTGTTTTGTTTAGGTACGTATCTCTCTATCTATCTATAACTATCTATCGATCTATCTATAACTATCTATCTATCAATCAATCTATCTATATATCTCTCTTTCAATCTATCTCTCTATCTATAAGGAACCGCAGTAGACAAAAGGCGTTGCTATAGTAACACGTCATGTTTACGCTGCATTTTCTACGAGGTAAATATTACCCGCTGGCGGATATAGGTAAAAATGGCATTTCCTTTGGCGATTTTTTTAATCTGACTTCATATTGACCATTTTTAACAACAGAGGGTGCTACATAACACACTTTCAGGAAAAGTCACGGAATGGGAGACTTGAATATTTTATTGAAAAAAAGTTACATACAATCAAAAAACAGCTGCGGGTAAAATTGACCCGTTGGCGGTTCTAGTGTTAATCAGTAGAATATTTGAACTAAGTACATTTTAGCTTGTAGATTAAATGAGAGGAAGCATAATTGACCTGTCAGTTTTTATCAGTGTTCCTATTTTCCTTATTCTCTGTGTTTCTGTGACTTCAGGCCCTGATTAACATCCTCAAACAGAAGGATGTGGAGAGCAACCCAGAGAATGTGATTGGGCACCTTAAGCCCTTCCGCATCATAATCAGTCTGCTGGATAAACCGGAGATAGGTAGGCAGCTCCAAGCAGTACAGTAAACAAATACGACTTACTGGATCCACCACTCTTTATTTATGTCTCGGCTTTTCTCTAAGCATGTTTCAATAGGCCACATTCACCAGTATCTTCCTACTTTTCTCTTCAAATGTTCCTGAGAAAGGTCCTTAGAAAAGTCTAAGCCTGATTCATGATATGTTTTAAAACCACTGAATTGTTAGTCCCTTTGTGTTGTTATAAAATAAATAAATGTTCCCATAAATTGAAATATCATGCCATTCAGCATTAACGCCCCACCAATTCAAATAAAAAGGCATGAGATTTCAGTGCTGTGTGCACACAGAAATTAAAAGAACATTTGAGAGAATTTCGTCAAAATCGCCCCAAACAAAATTCTAAAAAGGGTTGAGCAACAAGACAAAAAAACTATTTTCGAAAATAATGTATTATTTATTTAACGGTGAATAACGCTCATTGTTTCTTTGCAGGTCCAGTGGTCTTGAACAGTGTTTTGTTGGAGGTGGTGCGAGCTTTCTACAGCTACTGTCGAGAGATGGTGGGAGAGGAAAGCATCACCAGCTCAGGGCTCGCAGGCAACCAGCTAGCCAGGTGAGAACCATCGAGGAAAGGAAAGATCCAAACAATGGCCGTTTCTCAATGTCGAGTATACCTGCTGCAGAGCCACTATTTCAAGTATACTACGTCATCGAGTGGCGCCGAATGCTGGGCATTTAACATGCATTTAAACAGTCCTTCGGCGCCACTCGATGATGTAGTATACTTAAAATAGTGGCTCTGCAGCAGGTTTACTCGACATTGAGAAACGGCCCATATGTCTGTTGAACACTTGTTTAACTAAAAATATGACAAAAATGGAAGACAAAAATCATGCTTTTCCCATTCCTCTTCAACAGTAGGATCAAAGAGAACAGAAATGCATCAGAGATCATAAAGACGGTGAACATGCTTGTGAGCACCATGAACAGTGAATACCTGTGGGAGTACATGACCCGGCGCTTCTGCACCTCTCTCGGGTACGGCAGGAATGACACAAAATCCTTATTTACAAAAGCGAACAATGCTTATTGTGTAAAAAATTGTCAATTGCTGACTTGTGGACATTAAATATTTCAGGGAAAAGTCAGCATTAACAGAGTAAACAACAATGTCAGCAAATGGCTGAATTAAATCATTTGTTTCTGTGCAAATGAATATGCCAAGATAATGTAGAAAAAGGAATGTGAACTTTTTTGGTTAACCCGCAAATATCAACAGACGAAGACCACTGTTTTGATTTCTCCATCTTTACCCAACAGTGACAAAGATGACCCACCCACGCCTCCTCAGCATGAGCGCACTCAGCCTGCTCCGTCTGTCACAGAGATGTCTACGCTCATCATCTTCCTGCTTGACGTTCTCCCTCTGGTAAACAACTTACACAGACGTATGAATACCCTCATCTGTTAAATTAAATTGATGCAGCAAATAATGCTATTGATAATTAATAATAATAATAATAATAATAGATTTAATTTGTTAGCGCTTTTACAGGTGCTCAAAGACGCTTTACAGATATAGTGAAAAGAAAGGAACAACAAATAAATATATAGTTAAAGTTAAATAATACAAAAACAATCACACATTAAAAGCCAGATTGAAGAGGTGAGTTTTTTTGAAGGTGGTGAGGTCAGTGCAGTCTCTGATGGGTTGTGGGAGTGAGTTCCAGAGGGTGTGGGCAGTGACGGAGAAGGCTCTGTCCCCCCAGGTCCGGTGATTGATGTGGGTGGGGATGGATAGGAGGTTGGCTTCTGATGAGCGGAGGCAGCGATTAATTACAAATAATGCATGAAAATATTTGGGTTTGGCATTTTGCAAAATCTAACAAATACTGTACATGACCAATGGAAAGCAAATAACTTAAATAGAGAAAACGGTAAGCTTCCGGTACCCACTAAACAAATATTGAAGATTATTCAGTGTTAAATTACCCAAGTTTGAGTCATATACAGCTGAAAAACATGTTTACTGTACACAAATAGTGTGTTTTATGTTGTTTTTTCTCCCACAGGAGCTCCATGCTGACATTCAGTCCCAGTTCCTCCCTGAGATACTGGGTACCATGCTGCGGACCCTGCACAGCCACATGGACTCCATCAGCCTGGAAGATGTCACCCAGGGTCTCCGCACCTCCTTCAAGGTCCTGAGTAAGATCCAGATGCCTGTAGCTTATATGGACAATGAGGCAGGGTCCCAGACAGAAGAGCTGGAGTTTCAGTCAGCGGAGGAGGAAAGCAAAACAAATCAGGTGAGGCATTTACAGTCAGAACCATGTAGTGTTGCTTTTTTTTTTTTATTTGTTATGTTTTACTGTGACTTAACATGGGTTGTACTCTATCTAGGGTATTGAGAAGGAGGGAGAGGAGGATGGCAAGGTTGGCAAGGTTGGCCAGGTTAATGGTCACCATGCAGAGGAGGAGCTGAAGAGAGATGGAGGAGAGGAGGCAAACGGTGTTTACCCAACACTCAGGTCTGAAGACAGCGGATTGGGAATCAGCGCCTCACCATCAGAGCAGCATCTCCCACGAGTCATGGGGATCAGGGAGGAGGGAAATGGAGTTTGCAAAGAAGCCGAGGGAGTATGGAGGAGGGGAGGCAGCGTAGACAACATGAGCCAGTGTCTGCAGGACATCCTGGCCTTCATAAGCACCAGGTAAACTACTGAGACATTGTTCAATTACCCGTAACCTACATTGACCTCCTTTATTATCCTTTATTATGTGTTTGTATATATATCTATGTATATGTATTCAGACCTACTGTGTATTGTACTGTGTGTAATCACAACTGAGCGAACACCTGAATTTCTCCTTTGGGATACAATCAATGTGTTTCTTCTTCTTCTTTATTAAGTGTGATTTTTATAAATACTTTCCCTCAATGTTTCAGATACCTGCTGGTGCAGGTGGAGGACGTCAGGGCATCGGAGAAAGAAGCTCAGCCCGACCTTACTGCTGCTTCTATGCATCAGAAGACATCGGTACAGGCCAAAGGTGGGCGGGAAATGAAAGACAAACTGAGTGAACTGTTCAATCCACACAAGTTTAAACCCCACCCTGTATCTGAAGGCCCGCCCCCAGCAGCCCCCACAGAGAAGAAGAAGGAGCGGGGGCATCTGGACTGGGCGGCCGGCTTCATGCCCCGCAGCAGGGCGGAGATCTCTGAGGCCGGTCGACAGGCTTTCACCGCCACCTGCCACCTGCTGCTGGAGTGCACCACCTTCCCCGTCTACCTGAGCGAAAAGGAGACTCTGGATCTCCACACTCACATGTTTGGCAACACAGGTCAGCACAGAGAAGTTATTTATCCAGCTGATTTAATACTGTTGTCAGCTACATACTTTAAAGGTGGGAGCTGCAATTATAGACAGAAAGATAGATCATAGTTGAACTCGGCAACCAAAGAAATATGAATAGATCCCGTCAGTGCTCTTTGAGAACCTCAGCCTGTGCCAGATTTAACTCTCACTGCCTATGGCCTTTCCCCTGCCGAAAAGATTATATGTGGCTTGTAGGGCTGTACCGATAAGTAGCCTTATTTATAATGTTGACATTTACATTATTTTGATTTAGAACTTGGAGAAACTGAGTCCACTTTCCACCTTTTCTTGCCCTCTCTCTGTTACAGAACATTTCTGTAACTGTCAAAGTCCAAAAGTCGAAATGCATTGATCAAAGATAGATCTTATCATTTCTAAAAATCAACATCAGATTTTTATCAAACAAATGTTCTGCTTCAATTAATATTTGTTTGCCTACATTTGAGGTTTTATTCAAAAACTTTAATAAAATATGTGAATGGAAATGTTTTCCACCCACACACAGAATTGACAGCCAGTCAATGAGGAGTTAATCGCCTGATTTGACACAAAGTGTATCGCATTAGAATCACAGACTCCACCCCCACAGAAATGACAATGCGATTTTGTTTTCCGTAGGTGGGATGGATGTGGACAGCCTACCTGTGTGGTTGAGGTCCTTGATGATACTGTGCTGCCTGTCCAGAGACTACAACATCCAGCACACTGCAGTGTCCTCCCTGTTGGAGCTCATCAACCATTCCCAGTCCTTAGCGCTGGTCATCCAGGACAAACACAAGCGCTACCAAAGATCTGAGTCCAACCCTCTGAGTGAGCGGCTGCAGATGGTCACTGTGCCCCCCATCTACCCTGCTATGCTTCGTGTCGTAGAGGAAGGCACAGATTTCTACCAGGTTAGATTATAAAATGGGAAATTATGTTGTAGCTCAATGAAGCTCAATTTAAATGTAGTATTTAATCTTTATTTCCCGTGACTCAGAGGGTGTCCCAGGTTCTGTGGAACCAGCTGGACACGGAGAGGAGAGAGCAGCACATTTCCTGTGTGGAGCTCTTTTACAGGCTTCACTGTTTGGCTCCATCGGCGTCCATCTGTGAAGACATCATCTGCCAGGCGCTACTGCACAAAGACAAGGTGTGTAAGCCTGCAAACACACTGAACACAATTCATTCACAAAATGTAATGCTCTCCCGTGTGTCGGCTTTAACAGGATACATAAAGAGAGGTACTACTAATGTGGCAAGTTGAAGAACAGTGTAAAAAGTTATCCTTGTGTTTGTCTGCCTCAGTCTGTTAGGCTGGAAGCACTACACCGCTTCACTGTTCTGTGGCACCTGACCCGGGAGATCCAGACCAACAGGATCACGTCTATTAATCGCTCATTTGACCGGTTAGTGCATAATACAGTACAGACAAACATTATTATGATTAAGACATGGGATGTTGGGTTCCTTTATTTTCAAAATCTAACTGTTCTTAAAATGTGCGTCTCTGTCAGGTCTCTGTGTGTTGTGGTGGACAGTCTGAGCTGTACAGACGGATCAATCAGTGCAGCAGCTCAGTGCTGGCTGATCAGGGCTCTGTCCCTCAATGATGTCATCCGGATCCTGGAGCCCATCCTGCTGATGCTACTCCACCCCTCCACACAGCGCTGCTCCATTCAGAGCATCAAACAGAATCTCACTGCTGGTAAGTGCATCTGTCAGCATGTGTTGCAAATGCTGTGGATGTTGAGATGCACCTATTTTAATTCCCGATCTTTTAAAAGTCTGACCTTTGGGTTCTGATTTCTGACGATGCAGGGTTTTCTTTACATTTTCTCTAAAACTGTACCAAGTTACTGTACCTTCTCTCACTCTCACTGAAAACAAATCTCAAATATGCTTCGAATGGGTTTTTGGCTGTTCCGCCACAGCTTATTTGGACTTGCAGATGTTCTAAAGAAGAAAGAACAAAGGAAAAACATGTTGTGTGTGTGTCCGGATGAATTGTGTGCTGCAGCTGCAACCGTGTAAACAGCATTAAAAACATCATGTTTGTGTACATTTTAATAAAACATCATATATGAGACTAGTTGGCTGATCACTGGTCATGGTCGGTGCTTCTATGATAATATTTAAATTGTATGAATATCTTTGGTTTGGCTCTAATTGTGTTTTTATTTCCTAAAGGTAATGTGAAAGCTCTGAACAACAGAAGTCGAAGCTCCACCAAAACATCTGGGACATCTCCAGATTCCATGGCAACAGAGGTCACCACCTTAAATCTCATGAACATTCTGGACCGGGAAGCCCTGTGGGCAGAGCTGGAAAGCGGGTCGGAGCTGGCCAAAGAACCAGACACTTTAGCGTTATCTAGGAGTGTGAGCGAAGTGACAGAAGAGGAGGATAGAGAGGAGGAGGAGGAGGAGGAGGAGGAGGAAGCAGAGAGCGAACACACTGAGTCAGCTGACACTAGTGGTGCCCAGTTATCCACCGAGAACTCCAGCTCCGGCTCTGTCCCCAGCACTGAGGAAGCAGGAGTGCTCAACGGCCTGCGGAGGATAGAGTCCGGTCACACACAGGCGTCTGATTCACTGTCAAGCGAGGATGAGGAAGATTTGGAGCTGGAGGCAATAGCCCGGTCTCGCCTGTTGAAACAGGAGCGTGAGAAGAGAGAGGCCATTGACTCTCTGTTCCGCCATGTGCTCCTGTACCCTGTGGCGGGCGGGTGGCGCCATCTGCTGCAAGGCTTGGCTCTTTTAGACAGTCTGATGAGGAGCAGTGCTGAGTGTCCTCTGGTGGACGCACTCTCCTACACTTCTCTGGACACAAGCTCTGCTGCACATTTAAACCTGGTCTCCAACCTCCTGCAGCGCCACCAGCAGGCTCAGGGAGGTCAGGGCTTCTACGGCGGCCTCCTCTCTCCTTCCTCCTCCCCCTCTGTGCCCCCATCCCAGCTCATTGAACTGCTAGTGTCCTTGTGCCTGAGGTTCCTGCGCTCACAATACCCTTCCTATCTGAGCCTGGGTCCCCTTGACCTGCAGGGAAACAGGGAGGTTCAGGTGAAGAGTGTGGGGGTGCTGACCCGCATGGTGAACCAGCTCGGCTGCATCGCACAGGGACAAGAGGGCAACGGGGCCAGTATGGAGCCCATCCGCAGACTCCTGTCAGAGTGTAAAGTGCAGCAATATGCTCTGCTTACACTTTCCGCATCCATGTATGCCGGTCAGAGGGGAACGGACAAGGGACCCCCAAAGGGTGTGGAGCTGCTGGAGGAGCAGGGCGGCCTGTCGGAGGAGAGTCTGGTGAATCTTGGAGCAGGAGGCGGACAGGAACAGTACCCCTTGCAAATGGAGTTACTGAAACTCCTCCAGGCTCTCATAGTGTTGGAGTACCATGTGTGCGGGGCTGCCTCGGCGTCTGGCCAGCCCGCAGAGCCTCGTGAATCCCCAACTGCCACCACCCCGCTGGCTCGTGAATGGCAAACTGCGGTTCTTTTTCAGCAGTCCATCAAGGCCGCCCAGTACGTCCAGAGCCATCCCATCACAGCGCAGGGAATGTTTGTTTCTGCCGCAGCCAGGGCACTGCAGCCACAGTACGGCTACTCCATGCACCCCCACTGGGTGTCACTGCTGTGCTCCTCGCTGCCATACCTGGGTCGATCGTTAGGCATCATTGTGGCTCCACTCATCAGTCAGATCTGCAGGAACTTGGACGAGCTGGTCAAGCTTTACGAGCATGATGGAGGGAAGACAAACCCGAGGTAGAGCACCATTTTAAAAACAGAGTCTCTCAGTACCATAGTTTTTTACACTGTAACAATTTGTCCTTTTCAATGTTAAGGTAGTATCTACTGACATTTAAAATGAGACAGTAAAGAAACCATGACTAAAACCCATATAAAACATTTCTAAATTAAGACACACATTTATTTTTATTTATGAAGTTTGTTCTTTGTTTCGAACAGCCTGAGTGGTAGAAGGGAAAACATTTCCCCTGATTACCCTCTCACTCTGCTGGAGGGCCTGACCACCATTACACACTATTGTCTACTGGACAACAAGAGGGTGAGGAATGAAACACACAAACACACACACACACACACATGCATATTAATATCTTATTTGAATAAGAATTTAAATACCCATTTTCCATTATCTTTCTCTCTGTCAGTCTTTTGTGGCCTGCGATCCTATGGATGTTCGGAATGCACGCAACGCTGTGATCGAGGCACTACCGGACATGCTCAGTAGCATGGCGTTGTTGTGGGGAGTTGTCATGAGGGAAGAGCTTCAGACGCGTGGAGCAGACACTGTCCAGAGCAGCAGACATACTTCTACCTCTGTCTACTTTAAAAGCACCAAGGTGTGTGCTACATTCACATTTATGCCATTCTAAATATATGTAATCACAGATCTGTGTCATTTAGGTTGTGTCGACCCTGCACATTCACATGTTCTCCTGTTAAACCGTGTGCATATGTTATTCTTTTCACTCGTTGTTTAGATCTTACGGCAGCGGATACTGGAGTTCCTGGTCCCTCTAACTGGGCCTTATGGGATTCAGCTCATGGCTTCACTGGGAGCAGTGTGGAGCAGCAGGAAGAGTAAAAGGAGACATAAAAACAAAGTAAGAACTGCAGTTTTTACAGAAATCTGGAAAGAACATATACACGTCTATCTCACAAAGAAACGTTATTGCATTTGTTGGCATCATAACTCTCTCACTCTTTAGGTTTTACCTGTGGCCAGTGAGTCTCGTCTAACCATTGTGGCTCTGGTCAAATCACTGCACACCCTGCACACGGATACCATCCTACAATTGGTCAAGGAGGTGGTGAAAAAACCACATCAGATCAAAGGGGACCAGGTATACAAAAACACATACAGGCACAGCTCTCAACACGTGTATTCTGGAATTTTCAGAAGTACATTCTCCCTGACCTGAATCATGTTTTACTTTTCTCTCTATCAGAAGTCAACACTGGTAGATATACCAATGCTTCAATTCAGCTACACCTATATCCAGAGGTAATTATGACATGCAATGCAAGTTTTCACCTCGGGTTGAATACAAATATAAGACAGATTTACAATTACAATTTACAAATGTTCCTTATTATTATATATTATTTATTGTTAACTATTCCACAATCTTCTTGAAGACGCTTTAGAGACAGGGCTTTCTTAGTAGCTGCTGGAACAGTCTCCATGAAAGTATAATATAATACAGCAGAATCTATTGAATCCTTTAAAATGTGTCTTAAGGCCCACTTACTCTTGCCTGCCTCTGCAATGATTAAAGATGTGATTTGCATTCATCTTAAATGCATGAATGTATTTGTTTCTGTGTATGTGCTGTGTATTTATGCATTATATTCAGCTACTTTTGTCAATAGATTATCTTCTTTGCAAAAGTGTTGATGTTGTTTAGAACTGTCTAACTGGTATGTTTTTAAAATGCTCTATTTATAAAATCGACTTGAATCTAATCATTTCTCTTTATTTGTAGCATTTCAGCTCAGACTCTGCAGGAAAACGTGGTTCCTCTCCTAAGTTTGTTACGGGAATCTGTTCAGCTCAACCTGGCCCCGCCCGGCCACTTCTTGTTGCTGGGGTCAGTTTTCCACACAGTCAATTGTACAATACAGGGTTGCACAACAAAAAGCAGGTGTAGTCCCTTTATTTAAACAGCTGATAAATGCACTGCACTCTATGACATTAATATGCTCTACCTATTTGTATGCTTTTATTGTCTGTCCATAGCCTTTATGTGCCTTGTATTTATTCTTATGTGTGCCTCTTATCTATTCTTGTAATATTATATTTGGTTATAATGTTATGTTCGTTGTGAAGCACTTTGGCAAACCCTCTGTTTTTAAAAATGTGCTATAGAAATAAAGTGGATTGGATTGGATAACATGTGTTGGTCTCCTATATTAAAAATATCTTACTTATTAATGGTTTCTGTTTTGCAGAATACTCAATGACTTTGTCAATAGGCTCCCCAACCTGGACAATAAGAAGTACACCAGAGACCTGCAGGTGTGAGTCAGCTATATAGAATGTAATGTTGTAACACTCTAGCTATGACACTGTAGTGATATTGATGGTGCCGTTATTGTGCAGGAGGTGACTCAGCGGATCCTGGAGGCAGTGGGGGGGATCGCAGGCTCCTCCCTGGAGCAGACCAGTTGGCTGAGCCGCAGCCTGGAGGTCAAAGTGCAGCCACAGGTGTGCCCTGATGCAGAGGAGCATGACGATGCAGATGTGGATGGGGACCACTATGGTAATTTGACATACTTCTGTCAAATGCATGTGAGCTGACTTCATCTGCAATCCCCATTAACTGGTTGAGAACACTTCAGGGGATTCATATAAAACAGAAAGTTCAGGTGCTTGATAATGATTGGCTCAGCCACGCCTGATAACATCAGTCACACAGCCAAACAAACTGTTTCAAATAGTTCAATTCAATTCAAAACCTTTATTTATCCAGGTAAAATCTCATTGAGATCAATGATCTCTTTTTCAAGGGAGACCTGCAGCAGTAGGTTCCACAAGAAGACATAAAAACATAAACAACAGAACAATAAAAGGACATCATACAGCAAAATGTACAGGGATTACAATTTACATATTTAACCACAAGTACAGGTACCAACAGCATCTGATTTTGTAGCATCCAACCGAGCTTTAAAAACATGTAGTGGTACTAGCTTGTAGTCCGATTTTTTATTATTTATTTAATGGTTGGATTAGTCATATAAAAGTAGTAGGAAAAGATCAACAGGATAAAGGAGGAATATAAAAGAAGAATGGAGACATGCTGAAATCACTGAGAGAAATTGAAGAGCTGGAAAAGTAAAGTCAACACTTAAAAATAGTGTTGTGTGTTAAGTGTTTCACTTAACTTAACTTTCAACTTAAGAGAAGGGGTCAGCTGCTAGAACTAGCACAAACAATTACTTTCATTATTGATTACATAGATGACTATATATTCGTTTATTCAATTAATAATTTTGGTATATAACATTTCAGAAAAAAAAGAAAACTCTTATTCCTTTCTTATCTCCTTGTCAGAGTCAATGGCTCAAGCGAGCACCATGGTCTCCTCCTCGGCCCCCTCGGCCTACAGCGTGCAGGCTCTGGTTCTCCTGGCTGAGGTAAGATTTCTTAAGTTTTATTTATGAGGAAAAATAAATGCGTGACTTATTTTGTGTTTGTATTGTTTATCACATTCTCTTGCTGAATAGGTCTTGGCACCACTTCTGGACATGATATACCGCAGTGATGAGAAGGAGAAGGCCGTTCCTCTCATCACTCGACTCATGTACTATGTTTTCCCCTACCTGAAGAACCACAGGTAATCAGTGTTCATGGCTCTCAATGCTAACAGATTTGGTCTGTGTGGTCTCTGTAGACATCTTCTTACTTACCTTTCTCTCCTCTAGTGCCTACAACATGCCCAGCTTCGAAGCAGGAGCCCAGCTGCTGAGCAGTCTGAGTGGGTATGCCTATACCAAAAGGGCCTGGAAAAAGGAGGTCTTTGAGCTCTTCATGGATCCCCTCTTCTTCACCATGGACGCTTCCTGTGCTCCCAGGTTAACATCTTATTTACCCGCTGCCCTCTCTTAGCCTATTAGTTGGTTATTTTGTTTTTGGACAAGTAAGATTTCTTAAGGTGAATTTTTTGTGATGTGTTGGAATGCTAAATTACTAATTTCAAGTAAATATGAAACGTCATTAGTCTAAAATTTATTTAATTGTATTACATGAATGAATTGGGGATTACCTATGTCTAATGTCTTCCTCCTTGTTTTCTCTAAAGTTGGAAATCCATTACTGACCATCTGCTGACTCATGAGAAGACCATGTTTAAAGATCTGATGAGTAAGTACAGCCTGTAGGGAATGTGTGTGGTGCGGTAAAGATAAAGGGAATTTGTTACTCTTTACACCTCCTAGATCATAAAATGGCGATAATGGAGAAGCATTGCTACAGATATGTCAGAGAACAGATATTTAGGGATGGAGAGTTAATGAAGAATGTTAAAAATAGCAGTTCATAAAAAAGAGACGAGAGTTAAACCTTTCAAAAGTTTTCAAAATGTTTTTCTGGATTTGGTGTTTTAATTCAAATTGAAGAGACATTTTTGATGACCTGAGTACTATTAAGAACACCGTATGTGTCCAAATGAGATTAACTGTTAGTCTACTACAAATAAACACGACGTTTATCTTCTGTTAACTTGGTTTATTCAATCAACGTGCATAACACCAATACAGAGCCATTAACGAACAGTGGACCTCATGCTCCAGGTCGACACAGACTAACTGCGCATGCGTTTCAGTCTCAAGAGGGCAACCTAGACTACCGTAAGGCCAGTAGTATAGGCGCAAAGAGATTACATGTTAACAATCTCATTCTATCTTTTTAAAGAAATAAACAAAACAAAAACAACTTTACATTGCATGAATCATAAAACAATCATACAGTGACTTAAAACAAAACATTTAAAATTCCCTGAGTAGTCAACATAAATTAGGGAAACATTTAAGAAACAAATACATAAACAAAGGTGTTTTCAATGTTCCATTTCAACAGACACTTTAACCCAGATCCCATTGTCCTTCACTGAGTGCTTTTAAGAGCACAAGAACCGAAGCTCCTTTTTTTGTGACAGTCAGCGAGCTGAGATTTTGTGTCTGACCAACGCACCTGCTTGATCCTCTTGCTCTGTATGAGCTCCTTAATGCTACTGATTTCCAACCTGAGTCTCTTCTCTGTGACTTGTTTTGTGGACTTGAGCGCATCGAACAGAGAGTGGTTATCAGTCACACAGAGTACAGGGGGTTTATTCAGTCCAGCATTTCCAGTAGTGAGCTCAGAAAATAGTGTGGCTAGTTTTTCTAGCCACACTAGAATTGTCTACCCCATCTGACATGGCAAGAGTTTCCCCTGCAAGGGTACTGCGAACCACTCGTCTGATTTTCTTTGAATGCCAACAGAGGGGGGAAAACTTCCCTCTTCTCCCATAAGTGTTATAAAAATACCTCCCTGTGTACCTCCGTCTGGGAGGTTTCCAAATGAAGCATCACTGAAAACTATCAAGTTCAAAGCATCACTGTTTCCCAGATGTTGAAATATGAGTGTCACCTTTTCAGACTTTAGCTTACGGATTATCTTATTAGCATCATGAACAGACTGTACTGTTGCCCCTTTTATATTAGAAGCCAAACAACATGAATCAAACATTACATCAGGTCTTGTCTGTTTAGCAACCCATAGGATCTGTCCTATTTTTGATCGTAACTGCTCTCTCTGTTTCGTTGAGGGGTTCATTTCTCTGTGTGGCCCGACTTGCTTGTATGGGAATAGGCTCCAGGTTCTCGATATAACTTTGTTGATGTACCTGAACTTCACCGTTAACAGTTACCAAATCCATTCCTACATAGGAGAACTTTTCATGCTCCTCACGCCCAACCTTGAATGCAGACTGCAGTTGGGGGATCACATTGGATGAAAAGTTTGATGAGCCTGCCCAAAGAAAATCATCTACATGACACGCAAGCACCCCAGTGACCTTACATTGCTCATCCAACCAGTAAAAGACTGCCGGATCCACCTGTGACACTCTACCACCAATACTCAGCATGATTTCCTTCACTTTGTTGTACCAATATAGTGATGCATCTGCAAGACCATATACACATTTCTTTAGTTTCCATACAACATGTTGACATCCTGCCTCTAGAGGGGGGCGGATATAAATATCCCTGGATAGCTCCATACCCTGCAAGAATGCAGATTTGATGTCCATAGAATGGACTTCCCACTGGTTTTGACATATCACTGATAACATAAGTCTAAGTGAATCTGTGGGGGAATCTTTCTTTCGGTAACTCTTGAATATTCAGCTCTTCAAAACCTCTGGCAACCAGTCGGGCTTTAGGCACTATACCCTTGGGAGTGTCTTTAAGACTACAAACCCATCTGGTGGAAATGCATTTCTGCCCTGCATCTTCAACTTCCTAAATACATTATTATTGTGCCAGTTCTTTATTTCTTCCTGTTTAGCTGTATCAAATGAGATGTCTTTGGTTACAAGTACATCAGCTTCTCTGTCTTCTGTTTCAATGTTGAGATTATCAACCTGTGAGATATCAATTGATTCCTTTTGCCCATCACTACCATCATTCTCTAGATGTTGCATGTTATACCAGGTTTTATATTTCCCTGTAGCCTTGCCTGATCTCCCTAAGACTCTTGCTTTAAGTAGAGTATTGTCACCTCTGTTCATATATGTTACAGTCTGTCCTGTTTTTAAACTCACACCTGCAGAAGGGGCAGGATTATTATGGGCATTAGGCCTATGCGCCATTTCAGTTTGTGTTACGCTACTCAAAGTGTTTGGAGGATCGATCGCTTCACTTGTATTGGCTTCCCTGTCACCGAATTGTTGTTCATTCTCTGTATTTTGCTCACTGTCTAAACTACCAGTTGCATTGTTTATACCTTGCTCACTTCCTGCTTCTGTGTCAGCATCATTTTGTACCATTTGCTCTTCATTAACCTTTGTGTTCACCTTGGAAAGCCTAGAGTGATGCACTCTCACTAGGCAACCACCATGCCTCACAAAAACAACAGCCCCATCCTGACCAATAACTATCCCTGGTCCTTTCCACTCAGTGCATTCAGCTCGTTTGTAATACACCTTGTCACCCATCTCATATTTCTCATCTGTGGGTCTGAGCTGCTTACGTAGTGCTCGTCTTATCCTTTCTGAGCACTCTGCTTCAGTAAATGCTTTTCTAGAGGCATGCAAGGCTGAAATGTGCTCTCCTACTCTAGCACTCATAGTGGTACCTTCTAGCGCAGGTGGTTTATCAACCAGTACAGAAGGAAGGTTGGGGTTCTGGCCAAACACCAGTTGATGAGGACTGTAGCCGTGCACATTGCGCATACTGTTCTTAGCCATGAGAGCCCAGTCTAGGGCTGTTTGCCAGTCACATCCATTTTCCCGTCTGACCTTCTGGATGATGTCGGTGAGGGTCTGATTGTGTCTCTCCAGTAGCCCATTGCTCCAGGGGCTGTATCCTGCCGTGGTTTTTGTCTCAATGTTAAAGTTCTCTGCTATGTCACGGAACTCTGCATTGTTGAATTATCCTCCATTGTCACTGTAAAGTCTCCGTGGTGGGCCGTGGACGCTGATCCATGTATGAAGGAAAGAGTTCACCATCACAGAGGAGTTCTTTGTTTTCACAATGCTTCCAGCTCTGAAACGTGTAAATTGGTCAATGATGTGGAGGTACCATAAACTTGGTTCCAACTCGTGCAGGTCCACTGCCACCGTTTCATTGTACTCTGAAGCCAGAGGCAAGCCCACAGCAGGCTTCGGCTTGGTCTTGCTGTATCTCTGGCATATGTCACATTCCTGTACTATTTGTTGTAAAATAGTGTCACAATCTTTGTCTTTATTTCCCGAACTGCGGAGGAGTCGCTGTAGTCTTTCTGCGGAGGCGTGACCAAACTGTTTGTGTAGTTTCAGGAGAGCTTTGTGTTTCTCATTTGAGGTCATATTTTCTGTGACTAAGGACCTCATCTTCATTCTGACCACATCTTTAATTTCAATTTGATTCATTCCTGTGTCCTTGTCTCTGATATCTATACAGTAGTGTCCTGAACTGGTGAGTTCAAGAGGGATATGCTGTTTAAACATCACAGCTCTATCATTCTCCATGTCCAAGATGGTTCCTGCCCTTTTCAGTGAAGTCTTACTCCGAAGTAGTGGGATATCAGCTTTGACTACTTCAGTTTCCATTCGACATTTTGTCTGTCCTATTTTGGCAGGCAGTTTCAGTATTCTGGAGGAATGCACTATATTTCCATCTCCAAAACGGAATGGTCTGGAGCTTGGAGTTTCACTTTTCACAATCTGGTTCACTTGACTTTGACTGAGATCAGCGACGAAGCTGTCCAACCATTTTTCTCCACACACTGTGCGGGTGACACATGCAGTGTCAATGATAGCCGTCCCTAAAGACTCAGTTAGGAATACCTCTGATTCAGACAGTGAGGCTTTAGTAAACAGTGTAATGTCACATTCCTCTACCTTTGTTCGATCTTCAGTTAGCTTTACTTGTTCGCTACTCTTGTGAGGACAGTCTTTAGCCCAATGGAACGTGCTCTGACATATAGCACATTTTGATCTCTTACCGAACCTATCCAGTGGGTTGGTACCATAGACTGGGTACATGTACCCTGTGACGGTTGCCTTTGTTGTCCAACTTGTCCAAACTGCTGCGTTGTTGGACGTCTGAATCTTCCTTGTGAGTGTTGCTCTGTGAATAACGCTTCATCGTTAACGTGTATTCCGTTTGATGTGCCGCCTTGCACTCTCCCCCCAAAGATCCTCTTCAGCGCAGACTTCATTGCAGCAAACGTTAAATCTGTACACGCAGTCAGCGCCATTTGTCTATTTTTCTCGTATCAAGCCGTGTCCAAAAGTTTAAAAGCTAGCACGGCGTCAGGAAGAGTCATGTCGTACTTTTTCATTCGGTTGTATCGCTGTTCAAAGTCAATCACATAGTCCGCCATGGACACGGAGCTCTCCTTTTTGATAAAAAAAGAGTAAGCATCGTATGCGCGGTCTCTCTCTTCTTTGAGAAACATGCCATCTAGTTTTGCTAGCAGTGTGTCCATACCATTGTTGTTGTTCAAATCCAAAGCGGGTATTTCCATGGCGATGTCCCTTGCCCTTCCTTCCAGCCCCAGGACAACGGCGAGGGCTTGTTTCTTCTTATCAAGTTCAGTAACCAGCTTCCAAATGGCGATTTCATTTTTCCAACACTCGTATGGTCGGGATTCGTCGAACTTCGGTGGAACTTTGTAGTTAGCAGTAGCCATCTTCTGCTAACCATCCTCTGCTACCAATGTTAGTCTACTACAAATAAACACAACGTTTATCTTCTGTTAACTTGGTTTATTCAATCAACGTGCATAACACCAATACAGAGCCATTAAAGATCAAATGCAAAGGTTTTTTTATAATTGCCAGTAAAATCGTAATCATATAGCTACAACACTATCTAAGATATTGCAGTATTAAAATCGGAGATAATATGCGTCTGGCAATGCGCAATATTTATTTTGTTCAACCCCCAACACCAAGTCCGACGATTTATTTGCTCAGCCGCTCCTCCGCAAGATGGCGTCGCGTGACGTCACAGTGGCCAAACAAACAAACCTTGGCTTATCACTCACAGCTGCTTCCGCCGATAGTACAACTTAGTTTCGTTATCATGTCTGATTCTGAGTAGACTATAGACTAAAAGCTTTAGGAATCCAAACTATAACATATAATAAGTACCCTGTATCAAGATTGATGCAAAACAAGTGAAATTTGACCTTTTTAGAGAGGTTTAGAAAAATAAAGTCCAGGCGCTCTGAGTGAGCCTCTGAATTAGCCCCGAGCGAAAAATGCTCGCAGCGGCTCACAGCGGCTTCCGCCGATAGTACAACTTAGTTTCGTCTATCATGTCTGATTCTGAGTTGGAGGCCACCCAATATCTGGAGTATGTTGTCGACATCCAACCATATCTATACGAGCCTCTGATGTCGAAGAGGAAATACAAGGAAACGTCACCTGATATCACCGATGAAAGTGCTGATGGCGATGATTCAAGTTCGCCATCTGAGGAAGAGGCCGAGGGTGCTGAGAATTGGTGTAGATGTGGAAACTGCCAGACCATGCCTACAAGCCGAGAAAACAAGTGCTGCCACAACTATGGGAAAGTGAAGGAAGAGATGGGAGAAGAAGTCTGCATCACCGACTGTAGGACGTTCGACATTTTCCGTTATGAGTGGAGGAGCGATGAATGAGCTGCAGATAAACTACAATGCTAACAGTGAATTAGCCCCGAGCGAAAAATGCTAACCTATCACTCCTAGCGCCCTTATTACTTATCCTAGCTCCACATCCAACACATTGTTTATGATCGTAAAGACACAGAATCTAACGGTGCCCACCTCTATAAGCAATAAAACTGCAATTCCGTTATCTGCGTTATCTGCTGTGCTCCGTGCGCTTTGAAATCTAATCAAAAGTTGTTTACCTCAATTCTTTGGCGTTTCTGCATCGCCCGGCTCTTTCGTTCTTTCAGTGGTTTCTTGTGCTGAAATATGGAGGGGACGGCTCCGGGTTTCAGCCTCCGACGTGCTATTAATGCTTCTCCACCAACAGACTTCATGATAGCAGGATCAACGTCCTATGCATCACACGCGAAGTGGTCAGAACACAACTTGCTCCATTTTGTCGGTTGCCATCCAACACGATTCACTAAAAAAATCAATTTTTGGCGGATGATTTGGTCTTTGGCAAATGCATGTAAAACTCTCCCAGATCCCGCACCGTTCGTACAACAAAAAGCTCAACAATAACCCATGTTAATTCAGTTTTCTTTTCGAAAAACATGTGACCGAGACTGCCGAGTCGGGATATTTGGTCCAGAGACTGTTTGGCCACTATTACGTCACGCGCGCGGAGGCTGCTGGGAATGACATGTCAGAAATTCAGACGGCTTTGGGTCGAGTTTTGGATCAATAAAAAGCTTTTTTTTGGGTGTATTATCTCGATTTAAATAAAATAAAAAATACAGGCAGTCTTAAAAACAACATTTCTATAAAAATGTAGCATATTTGGAAGCTTTGCATTTGATCTTTAACGAACAGTGGACCTCATGCTCCAGGTCGACACAGACTAACGGAGCGTCCACACAGCAGCGTGCGTTGACGCTTGGAGGTAGGCGTATCTGAAGCTTGGGGATTTTTTGCGAGCAACACGACCAACAACCAATCACATGAATCTCCCGCCCCCGACATACAAAGCAATAGCAATGTTAAAACGAAGTAAACTGGATATAAAATCCCCAAACAGGCGAAAACCTACCAGTTTCACCCACTGTCTCTGCCACCTCCCTCCATGCCTCGCTCCTCCGGTTTGTATCCCGGTAGATCAACAGAGACTGATCATACAGCACCGGGTGATTCACTACCGCTATAATGAATTTTCCCTCAATTTTTTTGAATATGAGGAAATGACCTGCGTAGTCTCTCCCAGCATACACGCGGTTTGATTGGCTAGCGATTGTACTGGCAGATTTGAATAAACGGGATTTCATTGGCTGACGCCTCCGTCGAAGCGTCAAAAGTTGAACATTGCTCAACTTTTGACGCCAGCTACGCCAGCAACGCTCCACGTCGCTTCCCAAAATGCAGTTCGGCTAAAAGTGACGTCACCCCATTCAAAGTGAATGGGCAGAAGCGTTGGAAGCTTCAACGCACGCCGCTGTGTGGACGGGCCGTAACTGCGCATGCGTTTCACAGTCTCAAGAGGGCAACCTAGACTACCGTAAGGCCAGTAGTATAGGCGCAAAGAGATTACATGTTAACATTAACTACCTGATAAGAGAGTTATTTATGACCCTCATACACTAGACACAACACATCCCTTAGTTTGGGATGTTTCATATATTTATATATGAAAAAAGACAAAATAAAATTATGTTGAAAATATGAAAAAAGTGTGATAAAATAAGATGTGGAAAAAATACAATCTCGTACGCCGAAAAATAAAATAAAAACATCATCAAGTGTTGGAGCATCACCCAATGGCGGTTCACCTCTGCTCCGCGCGTCCCTTGATGACTGATGAGCTAGTCAAATTTACAAAAGAAGGAACTCAAAACACCAGGATAAAAGTTAAACAATAATCTGTTTTAATGGTAGAAAATAACAATACACAATACAGAGCACTCTGCAATAGTACCAAATACAGAGTGCTCCGGGCTCAATTCCTACCACCGTGTGATATACGTACCACGACAGCCAGTCAGGAAAAGAGCCCCGAATGTAAGAATGTTACAGCTTACATACAAATTCTGTGGGAGGAATTATGTTGGTTGCTCCTCCCTAGCTATTTGTTATTGGCGATTTCACTTCTGGGCGAGCTAGCTAGTGAGTTGGCAGTTCTCCATTGGCCAGTTTCACTTCTGGGCGGGACCCTAGGCAATGAGTCAGCAGTTGTTGATTCCATCTGTTGCTCCATCTCGTGTGTGTGTGTGTGTGTGTGTGTGTCCCTCTGCCCTCAGGCAGTCCCCCAACAATGATTTGGAGTAGTATAATCTTACAGACAGAGGACTCTTTGACAGAATTAACACACATCTTATCATGTAGCTTATCACACAAAGCTGAAAGCTATGCTTGTATAGGTTTTAAACGTCCTTGTTTTATGACATCCATAGGATTAGCTAACTAACAAAGGTTAACTGTTCTTATACCCTCAGGCCTTCTTTGAACTTCCTTCCACCCCGAAGTCAGCTCACTTAATCATGAATACATCTATTGATAAATCAGAAGGACCATTGTCTTCTAACTTTGTGACTCACATCATCCCATGGCTTCTTCAAATATCTGGAAACTGTAATTAAAGTATGTTATATTTGAGAAGGTCCAAGAATTGACATAATATTTCCTCCTCTTATTAATTTAAGCTTCCAGATCATACAGAAAACTCTTCCAGACAACCTACTGAGTTCTGCCCTTGAAAGCCCAAAATGACACTCTGAAAAATACTTTTCAACGGGTATATTTATTTTACTCAAGGCAGAAATCACAGGTTGTACTGTACCTTACCTACTCACAAATAGCCAAAAAACCACCTTCTGATTATTAACAAGTCAAGTGGAAGAAAAGACCATTTGCGCTAATCTACAATTTTCTGCTATAACATGTTACTTTAATACTGATGGAGAAGAGACATGAAGAAGAGGGGACACATGTTGATGGAGAAGAGACATGAAGAAGAGGGGACACATGTTGATGGAGAAGAGACATGAAGAAGAGGGGACACATGTTGATGTAGAAGAGACATGGAGAAGAGGGGACACATGATGATGCAGTGACGCTATCTATCTTCTATCGATTAGATTTATGATTCGAAATTACAAAACTTGCATTTATCTAACAGGTTCGTTTTCCACTGACCTTATTTCGAGCTATTTTCCTAAATCCTATGGAGAAATCCCATTGCTTTTTTGTCGAGGGAAACATGAGGGAAACCGAGCGCAGCTTACTTCCGGATTTTAGGATGTGTCACTGTAACACTAAATTGATGCGATTTGATTGGATTGTGAGGCAAGGGAAGCCAGCCGCCTCTGGCTTCCCTTGGCATGGCCCTGACCAATCACAGGTTGGCAGGGGCATCACGTGAGCCTCATCTGATTGGTCAATCCCTCAATTTTTTTTCACCAAGGGAAGCCAGATTCGGCTGGCCTCCTCTCGCAACAGTGAGTGCAATCTACTGTTTCACCATAACATCTAGAGGGGCGCTGTTTGTTTCACTCTTTGTAAAATACTCAATGAGAATGGGGGAGAGACGGGCCGGCAGCAACACACAGCAAAGGAGAATTATCGAAACAAAACAAAGTGTTTTTATTTATTTATTTAAATTATAACTACAATCCGAAAAAACAAGGGAAGCCTGGCTTCCCTTGGCCTCCGGGAGAAAACGCCACTGATTGTAAGTTAAAGGTGAGCTAGTCCCTGTGGATATAACCCCTTCTCAATTATTCTAAATGTTATATTAATTCACCATTTACCTTTTGATAAAAGATTAGTTTATCAGAAATACATTTCTTCTTCCATAAAACGTAGGTTTGAGAAATAAATGTTCCAATATGAAATCAATTACTCAATATAATTGACTCTCCCCTCCTTTTTCTTACATATGTCACATATGTAATAATAATTTAGGCGTCTATTCCTCATCTCTCTCTTTTCTCACTTCCCCATCTCTTTCTTCTCTCACTTCCCCATCCCTCTCTCTTCTCACTTTCCCATCTGTCTCTCTCTTCCTCATCTCTCTCTCATCCTCATCTCCCTCTTTCCTCACTTCCCCATCTCCGTCTTCTCTCACTTCCCCATCTCTCTCTTGTCTCACTTTCTCATCTGTGTCTTTCCTCTCTTCCACATCCCTCTCTCATCACAATTTCTCATCTGTGTCTTTCCTCTTTTCCACATCCCACATATGTCACATATGTCACGTATGAAACAATAACTTAGGAGTCTATTTAAGCATGGTATAGTTTACAATCTATCAACCGAGAAGACTCAGTATCACCTGTGTGCAGCTTACAATTTTTTTTTGTGAGAAACATATATTATGCAGGAAATGTATACCTTTGTTGAAAAACAAAGCATATCAGATTTGGGAGGAAAAGCGTCATCCCCTTAACATCTGAGTAACTACTGAAGGCATAGCATGAATGCTAGTGGGTGTTTGAGGGTGCCATTACTGAGAAATGTCAAACAAACTCAAAACCTTACATTTGAAAACAGATTTGCATTCCTCCACTTAAATTGATGTTATCATTGGAAACAATAAAAGCTAATTGTCTTGATGTAGAATCCATCAATTGAATCGTCAGAGCAGAACAGAATGGTTGTATTGTAGCCCGAGTACCGGTCAGCCTCTAGTTTTTCCAGGTGGAAACATTGTCCATATAATGTGAATACATGCAGAATTAGACAGTAAGAAGCCCCTGACATTAGGCCTATTATAAAAATAGTAGGGGCTTTTAACAGCTTGCCAACTTACAGGCATCCTCTGCATAGCAGTATGAATAGCCTCAAAAAAACAAACAACCCACTCTGCGGTAACGAGAGTCATGTGTCTGACCCAAATGCCCTAAGTGAAGCCGTTAGTCTCATCTGACTGACCCAAGGGTTGGTGCTGGTGTGACAGGGAGGCTTCCAAGTGTTCAAAGCAGATGTCAAGCTTTCAGTTCATGGCTCGGTGGGGGGGAGCAGACCCATGTGAGACAGTATCAACGGCTGTATAATGTTCAGTTTGAGGAGCGTCATTCTCTCTGGGAGCAGGAAATGGTGTCCATTCTCGGACCAGACCATTAATGTCATGTAGAGCAGCCATAGCATCTCTGTGACTGCACTCAGCCAGACTGTAGCAGGGTAGAACTGTAATGGAAACTTCTGTGTAGCTATGCAGTGGGAGTCACCGACTCAGGAAGGAGACACGGGAAGAGCAGTAGCTTTGATGTCAAACACATGATGGTTTATTTGGAGTTAACGGCCGGAGGATTCACATCACAAGTCCAAGAGTCAGAGGTTCTGACTTCACGGTAGAGTTGCCACGTCAATTCTGGAGAGCCTCTCTCTTGCCAGCCCATCTAACTGGTTTCGCAGAGAGTAAACAACATATTTGAGGAGATAGCCTAAACAGTGTGGGAACACAGAGCTACTTGCCTCGGACACTTATGACCTCGAAGATTTTACCTTGGAGTCCACAAATACAGAGAAGGAAGTGTCCCAGTGTACCCACAACACAGACCATCTGTATCCCAGTATTGACCGGTCACAGAATGGGAACAATAACATTATTGGCTAAGCCGCCTGTGTCCTTAAAGAAGGTAAACAGACATCGAGGTTTGTCCTGTATGTTACAAATTGGCATGATAATTGATGATGATAATTATTTCCACAACAAGAACTGAGTGACTTTTAGTGAAGCCGTCCAAGGCCATAGACAAAATGGAACCACGTACTAACAAAGGGACACAAGGTCATCAATGTCTCTCTTTACCTTTGGCCTAATCATAAAACAAATTAGTGGGAAAAATGTGGAACACTAATCCATCATCATGTAAAATATTGAGTTAATTTAAATAATTACTTATGGGTTGAAATCAAATTAACATTAACATTAGAACTAAAGTCAGTCAAAATTGGACTTGCATGGATCAGAATCTAAGCAATACACCATTTTCCCAGCTTTGTAATGAAAAGGATAACAAGATTAGGTACATTACAGGAGTGTGAAAACACCCAAACTTATCTTATTCTAGTAGAGATTAGAGGACAGGTCTAATGTTGTGATCAAAAATATCAAGTCAAAGTTTTAGTTATTTTATCTTATGTACCACAGTTAATTTAATAATTAATCTTGAATTACTAATAACTCTAAAGAAGGCAACAATTTACAATGTGGATAAGGCGAAGACACATCCAAAGTGTGTGTGTGTGTGTGTGTGTTGTGTGTGTGTGTGTGTGTGTGTGTGTGTGTGTGTGTGTGTGTGTGTGTGTGTGTGTGTGTGTGTGTGTGTGTGTGTGTGTGTGTGTGTGGTGTGTGTGTGTGTGTGTGTGTGTGTGTGTGTGTGTGTGTGTGTGTGTGTGTGTGTGTGTGTGTGTGTGTGTGTGGGAGAACAGCTTGTCTGCCCAAGGTTTAAAACATTTGGGACAGCAGTGAGAATGTTTATGAGAAACAATTTGTAGCTTAGACTGAACTCGAAGGAAACTAGACTGGAATTTTTTTGAAGAAATCAAAACACTTGTACATTAATTAAAAACATTTGACATTTAGCTCGAGCTGGGTTAATATTCTCTTTATGGTATTTAAATTGGGCTTGAGTAGAACCATTTCAGGGATTTGGCTTGCAACACAAAGTGATACTGATCTCTGTCTGTTAGGATTTGGAAGTCTCATGATTTAAAGTGTGGGCCTGTGAAGGAGAGGCTGTTGGGAAACAACATCTGTCTTCGAACTGCAATTACTGATCTTAAAGAGATTGCAACATTATACTCCTTAAAAAATTGCTCAATTAATTTAATCCATTTATTATGCACACAATAAAAACCTCAACAAATATATTGATCCTGGCTTAACCAGCGACCTTTACTCTGTTGTTCATAAGCTCGGTTTCAGAAAACCTGTCAGTAGTTTAACAACTAATTTTAGTAATGTCTATGGAGACTAATTGGTTGATACGAGAAATAATTTGAAACAGTTTAATAAAGAATGTTAAACTATATTTAAAACTGTAATTGAACTTCAACTTATATTAATTATCTGAATCCAGTGGCCAGTTGGAATAGATAATCAACAAAGTTTCCATTTTGCAGCAGACACGAGGAGAGTTGGAGCTTTGATGTCAAACAATGATGTTTATTACAAGTATAACGGCCGGAGAATTCATATCACAAGTCACAGCAGCAAAAGGTTCTGACTGCACGGGTGGGTTGTCATGTCAATTCTGCACAGCCTATCTCTCGATAGACCTTTTAACTAGTTTACAGAGAGTTAATGAGCATATTGGGGGAGGCGTAAACATCTGGAGACACAGGAGATGTCTCTCACATCTGTGGAGCTTAGAAAGCCAGCGTTCTCAAAGTCGTAAACCCCCCCATCAGGCCATAAAACTGACCCTTAAGTGCTGGAGCACATTCCTTTAAGGAGATAACAGAATATTGGTTGGTTATTAACATCAACAGGCAATAAGGTTAAATATCTAGGAGTAAAGACAGAATTATTCCCTCACATTAATAAAGTAATTAAACAATAAAATGTCATATAACCTTATATTACCACAAAAGAGTCAATAAGTAATATTAACCCACTATTAAAGAACACTACCTTATAGAGGGCCATACAACCACCACAGGTGACCGAAACAAGTCATACTATCATCAATGACTATAATAGCTTACTAGGGGGATACTACAACAGGTGCCACATCAAAGGCCCTATAGTCTTATCACCCCCTTATTGAGCAATATCCTTATGAGGGGCTATACAACAGCTAAACAAGTCATACTATCATCATTAACTATATCTGGTTTTATCATTGACAAATAATGACCTACTAAGACACTCTAACAGGTTTCACATCAAAGGGGTAATAAAGTCTTATCACCCCCCTATTGTGCAACATCCTTTATGAGGGGCAATAAAACAATAAAACATACAAGTCATAAAAGAGTTAAAGGACAGATATGTAAAGTCTTATCACCCCCCTATTGCGCAACATCCTTTTATGAGGATTAAAACAATAAACACACAAGTCATACAAGATAAGAGGGTCAAAGGTCAGAGTGACAGGGGCCACATCAAAGGGATTTGGAGGCGGGACTAAGGTTTATGAGGGTCATAAATCACTCTCTTATCAGGTGCTTAATCTCATTTGGACACATACGGTGTTCTCAATAAAGTTAAAGTTAAAGCCTTTTATTGTCATTATACACATACACATGTTAATACTACTGACCTGTATTTATTTGTGTCGTAGGCATGCAGAGTAGCTCTTTGAAACTGTTTACCAATGTAGACCAGAAACCCATGCTGCTGAAGCGCCAGGCGTTTGCCATGTGCAGTGGAGAGCTGGACCAGTATCATCTGTATCTGCCTCTCATTCAAGGTGTGTTACTGGACATTTATGTAGATTTCTAAGTAATTATGTTAAATCAAGAGATTGATCGGCAGTGGACGTTTTCTTTAACCTTTATAATACTTCCCTCCCTTTCTTTTCAGAGCGTCTCACTGAGGCTTTGCGTATGAACCCTAGCCCTAACGTTACCGCCCAGATGTTCCTGATGTTTCGTGTTCTCCTATTGCGGATTTCGTCCCAGCACCTCACATCTCTTTGGCCAATCATGGTCACAGAACTGGTACGACCCCACCTTCTAAGAGCCTGGCTTTAAACACCAATACTGTAAATGTGTTTTTTTTTTTAAATCATCTTTAATGGAATCCTATTTTTCAACTTTTTCTTTCAGATTCGCGTATTTGCACGTCTGGAGAAAGCTCTGCAGTTAGAGAAAGACATCTCAAAGTGAGTTGAATATTTTATTCACATTTTAATGATGCTCTCTCTCATATTCACAATACTTTTCTTGTGTACCACCCAGGCAGACTAAAGTAGTGCGGGGAGCCGTTGACAAGAATGGACCTTTCAATTTCTCCCAGGCAGAGTTGGATATGTACTTGTCATCCTGCAAGTTTCTGGACACCTCCTTGGCTTTTCCTCCAGAGAGGATGCCTCTCTTTCAGATGTAAGAGCCCAATTCAGAACAAAAAGACTTTGAAGAAGCTATGTGGACTTCATACACATGATTTGTTTTTACTGCGTCTTACCTTTTCTGTGTAACTATCTGTTCCCTGGACAGGTATCGTTGGGCATTTGTCCCTGAAGTGGATGTGAACCGCTACGGCGGCCCAGAGACGGCGCTGATAGAAGGAGAACTGGAATGCACTCAGAGTCCTCATGTTGTCAGAGTACTGGAAGGGATACAGCAGCGATATGGGGTAAGCAAACGTATATGGCTTAAAAAGCACAAAGGTGTGTGCAACATTGTCTCTGTAATAACAGATGTGTGTTAATAAAGCTGTTTTTGTTGAACCTGCAATTAAACATTCCACTGTTTAGCCATGTGTATCAAGTGGTCATACTGTTGTTGTACAGTCATGTGACCTTGAGGTGGCACAATGCAACAGATGAATATCTCATTGTCAATTATAAACTTCACCTGAAAAAGAACATACAAAGTCCAAAACTCCCATTAATTCAGGTTTTGTGACATGACCACATCTCATTCTTGTTATTTCAGACACTGAATGGGCTGAGTGAGGAATCGTCCACAGAGCATTTGGAGTTCCCTCTGCTGACTCAGCGCTCCCTGTCCTCCATCACCCAGCTGGTGCCTTTCTTCCGCACCCTTTGCTGCTCCTTCCAGGGCTCGTCCCCCTGCAGCCCCTCTATGCCGCACTTCCCAGCAGCAGACTACCCACCATCTAATGCAGACACGGTCCTAAAGAGGCTGGAGTACATAATTGAAGAAGAGTTCCTGGACTCCGTGGAGAGTTAGAGCTGAAGCATGAAGCTTTCATAGACTAAGTCCTTTTCTTAAGCTCTTTAACCTGCAGCCATAAGAGGGACATTACTAAAATAGGCAGTCGGTGATAACGTTGTAGTGTGAACTACAAAAAAAGGAAATATTTTGGAATTCTGCTTTTTAAATGTCGTATCTTTCTATCTCTCTCCACATACATAGGTGTACCTCTGAGGTGCTCTCACATTGTAATGCTTCTATCTTTCTCAAGGACCAGTACCATCCTAATTGCAAATATTCACATATTAATATTGTGTCAGTGTCTACTCTTTGTTTTATATGGTTTTAGATATATAATGTAAAAATAGTCTTAATGTAAACCAACTTCAAAAAAGGACATTGTTATTATAATGCATGCACATAATAATAACTATAGTTCTAGTCAATATTTTTTGTTTGATGCCAAAAAGCAGATTCCCTGTGAAAACCTCATTAAGCATTGTTAATGTGAATGTTTCCTTTACTAAATGTCTATCTGACTCTGAGAATGTAATGTACTGTATATAACTGTATGGCTGCTGTTTTAGATGTACTTTCTCTCTGATCTTCATTGGATATGTCACTATTAGACCTTACAAACCTTTAGCGAAGATTCATGTTGAGAGTTATGAGTAAGTTACTGAATGTGATTTGTGTACACCATGAAAACCCTTTGAATTATGATTGGGTGTACCGTGCTAAAATACATGCTTGCCATGTTTGGAGTTCAAGGGAAATCAGCATTTCTTTGTAGTTGTTGGATGGATAGTTATACAACTGCCTGTTGTGTTTTTTTCCCGCAATGATGAATGCTAATGTAATTTATTTTGGATGTTTAAAGGACCATGTCAAGTTCTGAATTAACAGAAAGAAGACTCAATACATTAAATATTAAGTTTAAACACTGTGTTTTCACTTTACAAGGAAAGTTGCTTTTTTGTGTTGGAGAGAAATTGCTGACAGACTCAAAACTGAATTGATGTTTTGTTCCCTGATTCCCTCTGCCCACATGTTGCAGTGTCCGTGCTCAAGATGCTGAACACTGACCCCTTCTGCCTTATATTTAGTAACCATTTAGCAACAGGTTAAACATTGTGTCCAATGTCAAATCACTGCACAGTCATCAGCACACCTTATGGCTTTGTCTAAATGAGGACATGTGGAAACAACGTCCTTGAAATCCCTCTGGAGGAGCTTGAGGACGCTGCTGCAAAAATATGGACACTAAGTTGCTTAATCAGCTGCCATGACCTTATAAAAGATGGGAATAATCCAGTTTTACAAAACTGCTTAAAAAATCATTGTCTTAGGCATGATAACTTAATATGCAACTGTAACAAAAAAATGTATATGAATGAGTAATGCACACTAAGCAGAGCAGAACTTACCTATTTCTAACCAACAATCTGTCTAGTTAAGAAATGTCAATACTAAGTAGCATATTCTGCACAAATCCATCCAGTGCCAGCACCATTCCCTTCTATCACTTGGCGGAGTACTAGTACTGACATAAATAATTAGTGCCAATTTGGAAACAAAATGGTTCCTCGTTGATGGTGTTGGCTTTTGTAATATATATTATGAAAAAAAAACATTCCAGATAATAACCAAATCACTTCTTTTCACTGGACTGTTATGAGCTGGAAGCTGTCATGAGTGGTGAGATGATGGACCTCCTCAACATGTTATTGTAGTGACTGTTTAGTCTGTAAAGTGTCATTTGTAGTTCTATTTTGGAAAATGTCAAACCAGATGTGATCATATTACATGTAACATTAAATATTATGAACAACATAGGCCTACATGGTATTACTGATGACATACAGTCGGCGTCGCGTCACAGTTGGGGGCGGGGCATTTCGAGGGGGAAAACAATCATTTCCCCCTCGCCCGGAGCACTGTAAGCGAGCGGATTTTAAATGTTAAACAAACATGTCATACATTGATTCATTGCAGCCCATTGACAGGGATAGATACCTTAAACAAATTAATTTAATAGGATCGGATTCTTGTCCATATCTTATTAAAGAGTGGACGAATGATCCGACTGAATGGCCTGAAGTTTCATTCCCTGATATCTTCTGATACCTGGTTGAATCACCCGGTAAGAGGCAAAATCACGTTAACTGATGAATTAAACCTCACATAATTTCTATGTCTGACAAGGAAATTAGCACGTTTTAGTGCATTTGTTCATCACACAATGGTTGTTATTGCACAATAGTCATCATGAGCTGCATATATTGGTTATTGACGACTCGGTACGTTATATCAAGCAAGGATTTACACACACACGCCTAAAGAACTAGAACTGCCTGATATTCAGAGTACAAAGAGATGAGGACTTCATCAGTGGTGCCATTAATGTGATGCAAACATTTTGGTCACAACACATACTACACAAACTTCGGGAGCTGAACGATGCACAGGTAGGTGGTTGAATTTCCTATCAGTGTAAAAATGGCAACAAATAAGTCACTGTGACAGAGTTACATATTTATTTATACCAATTCATTTTGAAGCATATTATAGCTATTTCATTCAGTATCAACATAGACTACTTGACTATATGTACAAAATCAAATATCACAAAGCCTATACATTTATTTACAACATGAAAACACATAGGCTACAAATAGAATGAATAATGGGCTGTACAATATTGGAGGAAACTGATGTTGCAATGTAATTCATCTCAGTAACATCGCTGTGATATGAAAAAAACCACAGCATTTTATACTAGTTAGGGGCAGTTTGTATTTACAACCCAGGCCTGCATGGTTTGAAATATACTGTATTGTATGCCCTGATTTACTTTAGTAAGATAAGCAAATTGTGTTTGTCTATACTTGTGACTTTGATACTAATCAGATAATAATTGTTGATATTGTTGATCAAATTGTTCTTGTGTTCTTTTCAAAGGGGGTGTACTCATTTATGATAAGCACTGTATATGTTTCTGCTAAGTAGGCAGAACACAGTCCAGTCGAAAGCAGCACAGGGAGTGACCCATCAGGCAACAGAGGCAGAGCGTCAGGCATCAGAGGCAGAGCGACAGGCATCAGAGGCAGAGCGTCAGGCATCAGAGGCAGAGCGTCAGGCATCAGAGGCAGAGCGTCAGGCATCAGAGGCAGGGTGACAGGCATCAGAGGCAGAGTGTCAGGCATCAGAGGCAGAGCGTCAGGCATCAGAGGCAGGGTGACAGGCATCAGAGGCAGAGTGTCAGGCATCAGAGGCAGAGCGTCAGGCATCAGAGGCAGAGCGTCAGGCATCAGAGACAGAGTGACAGGCATCAGAGGCAGAGCGTCAGGCATCAGAGGCAGAGCGACAGGCATCAGAGGCAGAGCGTCAGGCATCAGAGGCAGAGCGTCAGGCATCAGCGTCAGGCATCAGAGGCAGAGCGTCAGGCATCAGAGGCCAGAGTGACAGGCATCAGAGGCAGGGTTGACAGGCATCAGAGGCAGAGCGTCAGGCATCAGAGGCAGAGCGTCAGGCATCAGAGGCAGAGCGTCAGGCATCAGAGGCAGAGCGTCAGGCATCAGAGGCAGGGTTGACAGGCATCAGAGGCAGGGTGGACAGGCATCAGAGGCAGAGCGTCAGGCATCAGAGGCAGAGCGTCAGGCATCAGAGGCAGAGCGTCAGGCATCAGAGGCAGAGCGACAGGCATCAGAGGCAGGGTGACAGGCATCAGAGGCAGAGCGTCAGGCATCAGAGGCAGAGCGTCAGGCATCAGAGGCAGAGCGTCAGGCATCAGAGGCAGAGCGTCAGGCATCAGAGGCAGAGCGTCAGGCATCAGAGGCAGGGTGACAGGCATCAGAGGCAGGGTGACAGGCATCAGAGGCAGAGCGTCAGGCATCAGAGGCAGAGCGACAGGCATCAGAGGCAGGGTGACAGGCATCAGAGGCAGAGCGTCAGGCATCAGAGGCAGAGCGTCAGGCATCAGAGGCAGAGCGTCAGGCATCAGAGACAGAGTGACAGGCATCAGAGACAGAGTGACAGGCATCAGAGGCAGAGCGTCAGGCATCAGAGGCAGAGCGACAGGCATCAGAGGCAGGGTGACAGGCATCAGAGGCAGGGTGACAGGCATCAGAGGCAGAGCGTCAGGCATCAGAGGCAGAGCGTCAGGAGGCAGGGTGACAGGCATCAGAGGCAGGGTGACAGGCATCAGAGGCAGAGCGTCAGGCATCAGAGGCAGAGCGTCAGGCATCAGAGGCAGGGTGACAGGCATCAGAGGCAGAGCATCAGGCATCAGAGGCAGAGCGTCAGGCATCAGAGGCAGAGCGTCAGGCATCAGAGGCAGAGCGTCAGGCATCAGAGGCAGAGCATCAGGCATCAGAGGCAGAGTGACAGGCATCAGAGACAGAGTGACAGGCATCAGAGGCAGAGTGTCAGGCATCAGAGGCAGAGTGTCAGGCATCAGAGGCAGAGCGTCAGGCATCAGAGACAGAGTGTCAGGCATCAGAGACAGAGTGACAGGCATCAGAGGCAGAGTGTCAGGCATCAGAGGCAGAGCGTCAGGCATCAGAGGCAGAGCGTCAGGCATCAGAGGCAGAGTGTCAGGCATCAGAGGCAGAGCGTCAGGCATCAGAGGCAGAGCGTCAGGCATCAGAGGCAGAGCGTCAGGCATCAGAGGCAGGGTGACAGGCATCAGAGGCAGAGCGTCAGGCATCAGAGGCAGAGCGTCAGGCATCAGAGGCAGAGCGTCAGGCATCAGAGGCAGATCACATATTTGTTGTTAAAATGCTGTTTATCTACATTGTTATGTTCGAGTTTCACAGGAGTAGCACAGTTGACCGTTATATCATATCGTCAGTGCATTGTGTCCTATCATTAGTGTTTCTTTTTCATGTTAAAGTGAAGAAAGATCCCTGTTTACTTCCTGTTATCCTGTTCTCTTGATATTGCACTAAATGTGAACAACAGTTCAATGTATTTAAATATAGAATAACATGTTTTTAAAATAAAATGTTATCTGAAGACACCCTACAAAGTAGGGATTACACATGTACTCGTTGATGTGATTAATTGAATAACGTCTCAGCACTTGTTAACCCGGATCTGTACTGTACCGTGAACCACGTCAGCGGCAAGTAGCAACAGTGATTTGATGATGCAGCACACTCTGAATACCAAAAACATTAAAATGTACATACTGTATGAATCTGACTGCTGACTCTATACTTACCAATGTGAATTCTGATGTTCGAAGTCACACGAGAATTTGCAACATCTTCGGCTGACAGTTGTTTTCGGCCCCTCGTGAAAGACGGTGTGATGAGCTGTGCACCCAGAACAGCAAAGTCATCCTTCAAAGTGAAGCCCCTGTCGGCTAAAATCTGAAATAAACATAACAAATACTTAAAAACACTACTTTACTTCAACAGCAACTCAAAAATGGTAACTATGGGTAAATAATAAATTCACAAATAATACTTAAATTAGAAGAAAAAAACAGTTCAATTGTTACCTGATCTCCTGCATGGTGGAACTTCTGAGATAAGAAGTCTGAGTTCCTTACAATATGCACATCTGAAGCCCTCCCTCCCCAGCCTTTGGAGAGATATGTGATTGAGCCAGATGGGTGACATGCAATGAAATACTTCACTGTTGTCCAGTTTTTGTATTTTGAGTAGGTGAAATGTTGGCGTACATCAAATCCAACCATCGGGAGAATACATCCAGGAAAGTGCTATGTGCCAGGTCAAATATTCCACACATCATATCGGTTGAGGGGTTCTGCCGTAGTTTCACCAGAGTAATAAAGAGCTGGTCTTGTGTTGACATCTTGGATGTTTTCTGTGACTTAACAAACTGTACCAGGTACTGATGAAGAGTGTCAAATACTGTCCATGACAGGCCTGTCATGACTCTACATTTAGTGTCATTTTCTCTCACAGTGTTTACCGAAATGTTCAACGTCTCCAATTCTCTGATGGCTTCAGCTCGCTCCTTCATGGCCTCATCTCTTTCTCTTCTTAAATTATACAATTCTTCATAAAGTTGTTTACTCTCTAACTCCTGAAGAGGTATGGGAGCTTCTGATGTTGGGGATTCTGGTGCCGGGGCTTCTGGTGCTGGGCCCTCTGATGTTGGGGATTCTGGTTGGGCAGACTGAACACCCTCACGCTTCCTCCTTCTCTCCAGCCTCTGAAGTACTGACCTGGGAGACTTTGTCTTTTTATGTGGGAACAGCGAGGGTGTGTAGTCTGGGTGGGCTATGTCCTCGTTTTTTAAGCCTGGGGCAAGACAGTTCACAAACGAAATGAGAAGGGGATAGAAGGGGGTGAAATACATTTTAACTGCAGAAAGCTCGGAAGATACCACCAGTGTTGTTAGCATAGCTGTGTTTTTGTATACTCAAGTAAGGTAGCCTGCATAACGTAGTAGTTAGTTAACTTCTCTTAAAACTAGTAATTGAACATTCATGTTAACTACGAAACAATTTAACACTGTTATTGTGTGAATAACGTTGTCATACCTGTAATGAAGTGCTGACTACAGACGTACACATGTTTGGATTTTGGATCCCACAGGTGGCCAAACTCATCCTCCCGACGGATCGCTTGAAGCCACCGGGTTCTTCTCCTGGGCTCTGTGCTCCCGTTGGGTAAAATATAAAATATTAGATTTGGATTTGTAAGCTTGTTAGTTGTACAAAAGGGCACACAGCAGCTCCTGGGCATTGTAGAAGCCGGTTTGTTTTCCCCCTCAGCGCGAACCGGATGTGACGTTTTGTGGGCGTTCCCTCGCTTGTCGACTGTATCTCGATTTGACAAGTAGTTAAACTGTTTAACTTAAGGTAGCCTACTTTTACTGTATCTCTAATTAAATGTTTTTATCGAGGAATTTGATTATGTCACATATTCAACTGTTTAATAATTATAATAATAATAATAATGTCGCTTTTATTTGATATGTTCGCCGTTCGCCCTTTTTGGTTGCTCAGGGCACCCATACCGGAATACCAAGAATATACCATGATATACCGCTCTCAGAATCTGAATGAGGCTCACGTTCACGAGCTCAAATTACCCTGAAATTACTTTATATATACAGTCTATGAAATTACCCCATCACAGTTTGTAATAGTGCGTGCCAAACAAACAACGCCCTACCGATCCGGTAACATCCGTGTTTACCAAAATATGGCGGCACAAGGAGACCGCGGTGTCCCGCTCAGTACAGTAAGTAGGATTTACTTGGTTTTAATGTTGACAAACTGTGGCGTGAACTGCACCACTGCAGATATAGCTAAGAATATATACTATATATAATATATAGGTAACGTTAAAGAGCTCACGCCACGGTCTATGTTTATTGATATGTTTCAATATATGCCATGATAACGGTCAGACTGCTCTTTGGTGGCATTTATTCCGTGTCAGCTAGCACAATTAAGATTGAATTATTACTAGGTAAATGCAGTGGTGTTAAGTAAGTACATTTACCCGAGTACTGTAGTAGCCTACGTGTACAATTTTCGAGGGACTAGTACTCTACTTGAGTATTTCATCTATGTTGCTACTTTCTACTTTTCCCCCACTACAATTCAAAGGTAAATCTTGTACTTATACTCCACTATATCTATTGAATACCTTTAGTTACTTTGCACATTTGGATTAATGATGTGAATCATATACAACCCTTAAAATACATTGTTTACACCTGGAGTAACCCTTACAAACTACTCTGCAGCATAAAGTAAATAAAACCAGCTGAGTTTTCACCAGCTGTTCAAACACATTAATGCATCAGTAATTGTAATAAAAACATATAATAGATATGATTCTGTAATGGGCTAATGTGCACTTTCAGTTTTGGTTCTATTATTATGGTATATTTTTGATGCTAATACTTTTATACTTTTACTTGAGTAACATTTGGAATACATGCCTTTTAGTTGTAACAGAGTATTCCTACATCTGCATACTTAATTATTCCACTACTGACGGTTCTTTAACTCTACTGAAAACTATCAAACTGGTATTAACAATTATAACGTATTGATACTGATCGTTAAATGGCGCCAACGTCACTCAATGTGTCATTTTAACACAAGGAAAGCAAAAACATTTTATATTTCATTGTATTTTCCTTTATTTTTGATTGCTTGTTACACTGGGGCAACAATGTTGGTCAATACCACTACTATCACTAGATTGCTACCCACACACTGCTGTGACCACATCAAACTAATTTCACTTTCACTTTCAATTATCAGTAACTGAAAACTTGGGGGAAGAACTCAAGTAATTATAACATATAATGATACAAACAAATATGTGTATAGCTATGAAATACATTTGTTTGAAAGATCAACAATAAATGAATGAATTGACAAGAAATTTGACTTTTTTTAATAAATAGACTTGCAAGTAGTACATGTGCAATTGTAAGAAAGTGTTTTTTTATATTTAGGTGTATTTTAAAACCCTCATTCTCTGTTTTCATAAACTAGAAATATTTGTATTAGTTGCAAACTTGACTTGCAATGTTCTTGCTGTAAATCAGAAATACTCTGCCTGTGTGTAACTCACTTAACAAATAGTGAATGATAACTATTTTAGGAAACCTCTGCTGTGCTCTTAAATAATATTTGTGCTCTAACTAGGGCTGTGCGATTATGGCAAAAATCATAATCACGATTATTTGGGTCAATAATTGATATCACGATTATTTTGACGATTATTCATTGACCATTTATTGAACTTTAAAACAAATAATATTTTACCAATAAACAAGATCAACAAATATGTTGGAGCACACTTCCAAAACCATACTAAACATATATTATTAATATGATAAATAAAAATAAATTAGACCAAAATGAATGAAATCAAATATGTTGCAGTGCACTGTCACAACCTACTGAAAACTCCTTAACATATAGCCAACATTTTGGTTCAACATATTCAACATATTCCACTCAGTTAAACGTTGAAGGCTGGCCAACCGTCATGGTCCAGAAGTAACAGGAAATAAATGTTGAACTACAATTTAAGACCAAATAAAAATGTTTAGGCCACCATGGCAAATGCTGGTAGGGCTGCACATGTCATCTCTTAAAGATTTTTTGCAAGAAACACCAGCCTGTTTACATGGTCTGGTTTCAGAGATGAGCGCAGGCAGGTGACGATATTGCCACCTGTACTGAAGACCCTCAGCCACGCCCCGACACAGGGGTGACGCCGGCCAATCACAAAGCTTTGATGCATTCAAGTGCATTATTCTGGCACAGGAAGATTATGTTACAGGACATTAACGATAAAACAGAATATTGTTGTTCTATTTTTAGACACATCTCGCGATCGACTGGTTGGGCACCCAATAGGTAGACCATAGGTCCGTTGTGGTGGCAAAGTAGTCAGCTGAAGCCACATCTCTCTCAACTTCCCCACGGCATTTGTCACATAATACCTGCTGAAATAATACCGAGACAGCATCGCGTAACGCTTGTCCAACGTGTTGACAAGTTGCTTAAAGCCCTGGTTGCTAACAGTGCTAACTGGGCACATATCTTTAGCGATGTGAAATGTAATGGCACCTGAAATATCTCTGTGTCTCTGCGAGCTCGTCGCGTAGGCCGTTGCTCTGTACAATGCGTCCTGAATCGATGACTGTGATGATGTTGTGGATGAAGTCGAGCGGCATCTGCTTTTTGGTCTGCTTTTTGTTGTATTATTGCCCAGTCGTATTGCACTTTGTGGTTGTATTTCAGATGATTAAAGAGATTGGTTGTGTTAGCGTGTGGTGCCAACACAACCTGGTAAATCCTGCACTGTAGGCCTACTTTCTTTTGCTCCACGTCGGACTCCTGAAAGCCAAAGTACTTCCAAATAGTGGAAATAGTTGTACCCTTCTTTTTAACGAGTTGCTGCTCTTGTTCTGACATCTGCGCTTGCGCTGAACACTCACAACACATGTCACTACTACGTGGCCGAGTGGGCTTTTAGGGAGGGGTGAAGCGCACCCAGCAAAATAATCATATTTTGTCAATTATGCTGTTTTCATAATCGTCGCAAGCCATAATCGTAATCGCGATTAAAATACGATTAATTGCACAGCCCTAGCTCTAACCATCTATCCTCTGGGACACATTGATTAAATATGGATGTATGAATATAAAGCCGCTTATATGTAATTATTGTGTACTTTTTAATTTGCTTCCCTTGCAGCTTTGTCCCAAATATCTTCATGCCAATTCCACCAGCCACACCTGGCCCTTCAGCGCCATAGCTGAGCTCATCGGTGAGTCAACATCACATGATTTCTTCTCTGCTATTTGTTAAGTATGTTTAGTTGTCATTTGACTTAAAGATAAGATAAGAAGGATATTTGTTTATCCCTATTGTTGGGTTTCATTGAGATATCCATAGCATTAAAGGCTTGAAAATCTTTGTATTACTTTCAGTGTGCGAAAAAGCACACGTCCCACCGTCCGGGACGTGTTATTTACGATATCGGACAAGTAGATCTTTCAATTGACTTGTCCGGTGGACAAGTGACGTTTTTCGCCCTCATTTATTGACAAATTATTGATACATTCAGTTTACAAAAGGCAGAATTAATTCGCAAATGATCCGTGTCCGCCATTGTTCGTTTAGAAATGTTAGTTTCGGTTCTGCTTGTCGATTCCTAAGGAAATGCATCTCGCCGCTTTCTGTACTGTTAGACGGGGGCGGGGCGGGACCATGGATGTATAATAAGAACGACGACGTGTAGCACAGTGGCAGGGTTGGGAAGCAAAACTCGGTTCCGAGTAAGAACAAATAACAATTGTCCAGTACCGGGATTAATAAGAGTTGTGAGGACAGGAGGCGAGGCCGAGCCCCGCGGACTGCAGCTCTCTCTCTAT